TAATAACAGAAATCGCAATGAACGACAATTCAAATATCCAAGCACATATTAATGAATGTAAAAAATATATATATATATCTTAAAAAAAAGTTGTGATAACGTGTTGTGAATATAAGCAAAAGAGACGAATAAGTATAATATCACATATACATCTTTACTAGACTGTATGTAAGCTCATATTACGCACACACTAGTACAGTGACGTTTGCGTATTGCAAACATGTCTTCCGTACATTGATTATATTCCCACCATTTTATATATAATCAACTTCATATATTTTAATATATATAATAAACTGGAATATTATATTTATATTAGATATGTAAAATATAAGTAATATTGACAAATTTCAGAGACTAATAAAAATATATTCTAGAATTATAAATGCAATATTAATTAAAGAAAAAAAAAGGACAAAATTATTTTGGCGCTTTGTACAGAATATACATTTCGTTAATGATTTGCCATACAGAATAAAAACGGATACTTAAACGATGTTTAAAAGACGCTTATGTGTAAACATACTATGCATAACAGTCACTTTTTCTTCTTTCAATATTAATAAACTCGATTACTACAAATAATGTAAACGATTTAATGATAAATGCACTGAATTCATATTATCATATAAAATAGAACCTGAATACATCATTATCGATCATGCATATGACTTTAATAGAATAGAGAATTGGATGTGAGCGGGAAATCAAAAGCACTATAATATATTGTAAACTACGTCATGGATAACAAACTAATGACTAAAACTCCTTCTTATTTTTTCCAAATTTTCCAATCGCACTATAATTATTATCATAATTTAAACATTAAACATCAAATTATATGTTATAAAACTATGACGACTACTATAGTACAAGATCCCATATATGCCAATGCATGGCGCAAGTAGCCAAACAGAGACTGAACATACGCGGGTTATAGCCTTGACGGTTGATTTATGACGAAACACTCATGACATAGGCCACGCCACATTTTACATTATAAATCTAGAGTATCTATGTTTTCACGACAGCAAAAATTGTCACACGGTATTTCTTCACATATCTATATATAATGATAACAAAGTGCACGAGAACCTTCCTGCTAAACACATCTCTGGGCAGCCATTTGCTATGACGGCTGGTAGAAATAAAAGGTATATGCACAGTATGCAACACAGTAGCACTTCACTAAATAATTGCTCGTATTACGTGTATCATACTATGATGATAGCTTATTAATCAATTATTGGTCGCTGAAATCTGTCAACACTCGAAAAGAAAAATATTTGGATTTTTCTTACCTGAACGATCCTCTACAGCTAAAAGGATTCTCAGCTTCGAATATCGCGACCCCACGCCACTTGTGCGGCATATGAAAGTGTATAGGGAAAATCTGTATTACCATTGGCTTATTTCAGATAAGCCGCAAAAAGTAAGCCAATCAGCATCAACCTTTTATGTTTTGAAGCGTTTCTTTTTACCCCCCCAATAAAATGTCTGCTAGTGGAAAGGGCGGGAAAAATCATGCGTGGAAAACCGTCTACACTGTATCATTTGTTTCATATTAAACAATATTTCTTTTTATCATACTGAATAAATGTATTTTTAATGATAAAATGTGTTGAATATATTTAGTTAGAATAATAACATCTTTTGATAAATAAATATTTTAAATTATTAAGGTTAGAATTTATTATTATTGTAGATGGCACTAGGCTCCAAAAGCTAAATATTAAGGCGCAAATTACAGTACCGCCAACGTGATGCATACAATATTCATATGTATATATATATATATATATATATATATTCTTTTATATACAACAAAATATATATATATATATGTATATATACATACAATATATATTCTAATTGATGAATTATTTTCTTTTATTTTCTATATATTATGGAACAGTTTAAAAAAATGTGTTTTATTACATATTTTTAAGCATTAATATTTAATAATCTTTGACATAAAAAAATAATTATGCATTACTATTTTTATTATAAGTAATAATATTTATAAAAAATATTTATGTTCATTTTAAAATAAATATAATATTCTATTTTTTTTTTAATTATATTTATCATATTTTACTAAGAGAAGAATTAAAATACTATAATAATAAAAATTTATAAATACGTTATATAAATGAGAAAAGGAAGGAGAGAGAGAAGGGAAGAGAGAGAGAGGGAGAGAGAAAGATTTATAATATAAAATATTATAAAATAATTGAAAATTGTACATTATATTTAACGTATATTCTGAAATATCTATAAATTTTATTAATCTTAATATAATAACAATTATAATAATTTTTAAAATAATATGCCAATTTGTTCATAACAAATAGCTTTTACTATGAATATATTATTTTCATTCATGTACATTTTTATATGTATATTTAATATAATTGTTAATTTTATTTTATAATAAACAACATATAAAGAGAAAAAAACTAGAGTTCATTAATTCTAGAATTTTTTTTAGTATATAGTTTTTTTTTATAACATATTATTTATTATTTATCATATTGTTTATATTTTGTATTTTATAACACTAAAAATTAAAAATATCAAATAATATTAAAAAATATAGAAAATTTTAAAAAATACGTATAATAAATTTGATAATAAATTAAATAAAAAATTAAATAATTATAATAAAAAAAATAATACAACAAAATATTCTAATTAATCAGCTTATGTTTTATATATATATATATATATGTATGTATATATATATTTATTTATCTTCTAACAGTAGCAAAATATAAAGTTGGTAGAATTGAATTTTACTAAACAGGCATTTCTCAAAGTTAAGCCATATCGTTTATGTATATATGCACGTAATATATAAATATATACATATATACATATTTACATTATGCGTATATATACATACATATCTTCAAACAGTATTGTACGAGTCAATGTAGATGTGTAAATAATAAAACGCGGTGAAGTGCTGTAGCAGAGAACTTTAAAGAAATTTGTAGAAACATAAACGTGTTGCGAGGAGACAGTAGTGTTAAATGTTTGTCTTGTAACAAAATTTTTAAAATATTTACAGCAATATATACATAAAATCAACTCGTATGTTAAATTGTTTGAGAGAAAGAAAGTGAAATGTTATACGACATCGTTTAACATTGAAGTCTTCGTAATACGCAAACTCTAATATTTAAATTATTGATTTCTTGTTTGAATCTTTACATTATATAAAAATTTTTTTGTACTGGCAATTGAAATATAAATTTCTTTGAAGAATTATCAATAACAAATGAAATTCAACGAAAAATTATGAGTGTGAAAAGTAGACATCATCGAGTATATTTTACTTTCAGTCACGCTGTTTTTTGACGCAAAAACATACATCAAAAGATATCGAGGTTGTTAAAGTTCTAAATACTCTTCATACCGATTTAGTTGATGTTAAGAATAAAAAAAAATGAATGGATTCAGTACCGGTGAAGAAGATTCCAGAGGAGCTGCTGATCAAATTTGTTGCCTTGTAGATGAGGGTGAACGATGTACTCGACCAGCTGGCAACGCTTCTTATAGTAAACGTATTCAAAAAACTGTAACTCAACGACGATTAAAACTTAATCTTGATCAAGTGGTAAGATGATAATAAAATAAAAAAATTATATTAACATATATATATTTATCATTTTTTTAGGTTTATTTTGAAATTTTTTCTTCTTTGATTTTATATGTTGTATATCATTCGTATTTTTTATAAAATAATAAATATGATTTTAGTAAGTTCAGTAGTTTAGTAGTTCATAATTGATTTTCTAAAATTCTTTGGAATCTTAAAATAATTAGAGTTATTAAATATGTTACAAAGTCATATTGATATAAATATTTATTAAATTTTGATAATATATCCATATAATAAAATGTATAATTTAAATCACATATATACATATTTTAAATTAATCAATATTTCAAAATAAAAATAATTTAATGTTTTTGTATTTATTTTATATTTTTATTTTATTAATATTTCTTTAATTTTTTTTTTGTAACTTTTCATACAAATAATTCATTTTAAAAAAGATTTTTAAATACAAATCTTATACATAATCAAGGGATAATAATATGCTATTATATATATCATTTATCATTAGGCACGTCATATATACATTTGTGATTATCATAAACAAGTAATACAATGTGCAAGATCTAAACAACAACAACAACGTAGACGCAAGGATTCAGAGGAAGATTCAGGTGAGACAGATAATGATCTACCTGAAGTTGATCTTTTTCAATTACAAGTTGGCACATTAAGACGGTATAAAAGACATTATAAAGTTTCCACACGTCCAGGTTTAAATAAAGCTCAATTAGCTGATGTAAGTATATTATTATACAAAATATATATTAAAGATATATATTTAAATATATATTTATAAAAAGAATTATGCATATTACATATTTCATTAAATAATATAAATAATAATTAAATAATAATTCATATAATATGTTATTAATGATAAGCAAAATTATGATATATATATATAAAGTATATACTTTCTTTTCAGACACTTATGAAGCATTTTAAAACCATCCCTGTAATTGAAAAAGAAGCATTAAGTTTTTTTATTTATACAGTAAAAACTAATGCTAATAAATTGGATCAAAAAAATGGTTTAAGTAACGATACAACATAGCCTAGGCCTCATTTCAGTTTTGTTATTGTAATAATATTTTATTAGTAAGATCAAAAATATATGTATGGATTTTTACTTGTTAATAGGAATAAGTATTTTATAAGAATAATGTATAAAATACATTAAGAAAAAAATATATATATAATATATATTAAAATATTGTTTATTTACTGTGTTCTTTTTATAAAATAAACTTTTATACAATTTTGTTCAAAAAAGATATTTTACTGTAGAAAGAACATTTTTTGAAATATTTTGAACACAGAAATTTTGTACAAAAATTTTTTATATTTTGATAATACAAATTCATTTGAAATGATGACATTTACAAATTCATTTGAAAACAAGTAATAAAAATTTGTAATGATATAAAACTTTGACTACACTCACTGAAGTCTTTTATTATTTAATAAAAATGTATATTATATTTTTATATATTATTTTTTCAGTCATTGCATTAAATCTTCTTTATTTAACATTTCAATAGTTTCTTCTTCACTACTTTCATTTATCTCTGAAACAGTAACAATTGATCAATTAATTATTTACTAAAAAAAAAAAAGTATAATAAATAATAATATAATAATAATATATAATAAATAAAGTATATAAAGTATAATAATATATAAAGTACCTATATTGTCTATAATTTTATTTTCTTCTTTTTTTATTTCATCAGTGATTTCAATATCACTTACTTCTCCTTCTGAAGATTCTGATACATTCCATGTATTAGGTCCACCTTCACCAAATGATGTACTCTATAAAAATAATTTTAAAATGTTGATTTATGTTAATATTTAATTACATTTTGTAACTAAATGAATATTTACTGTATCTGTTATTAATTCAGCAGAACCTTCTCCAGGTTTTAAAATTGTACAATTCTCAGTAATCTCTTTTTCCATGTTAACTTAAAATAAATATAATAAATATTAAAATAAATATAATTGTTGTTATTTAAATATAAATATAATTAATAAATGATTATTGAAACAATTGTTTCCTATTAAAAATCAAAAAATTATTTACCATCAGATTCCAATTTTTCTATCTCATCCCATTTACGTAATTTGATACTAATACATTCTCTATTCATTGTAGTCAATTTTTTAGTTGTTATACATTCTTTAAAACGATTTATATTTCGATTATCTTTTTTATACCTAAATATGTTTTTAAAATGAAAATAATTTAATATTTATAATAATTTAACATATATTTTTAACATTTATACAAAATAATAATAAATATTTCACCTTGCATTTATATCACTAAAGACTGTTTCTTTAATCTGCTGCACTAATTGAACAGCATAATTTGTTGCATAACTGGAAACTGCTGATATTACGTCTTCTACAGTCATAGTTTTTGTTAAATAATTAAAATGTAAACTACAAAGTTCTCTATATGAATTTATACCAAGAGTAAGTTGAGCTACTCCAATTCTTTCTTCTAAATATGTTGGATCCATAACTGTATTTCCACTAAAAATAAAAATAAAAATAAATATAATTTTATGAAAAATTTTCATTCATATTAACATATTTTCATTGAATATATATGGAATTAAATAATTAACCTTTCAAATGTTATAAATGAGACGCATACAGGATAATGGTATAATGTTAAAGGTAAAGGATCCTTTTCAGAAAATGGATGAACAATAATATCTTCACCATTTGAAGTTACATCAGGTCTATGAAAATGTGAGAGAGCAGCTAATGTTGCAATGGAAGCACAATCAATTAAATTCCATCATGATTAATAACATTAATATCAACTCTCAAATTCCATACCTATATTAATTATTAATATTTAATAATATTTAATTCTTCATATAATTTATTATATATTATAATTACAAGAGTTTCAATAATTATATAATAAAAATTGTATTTAAAACTATATATAATAACTATATATATTTTTATTTATATATTAATATATATATTTATATATATATAATTTAAAAAAATATATTTACCTTTTTATCAGCTATAATACACAAAGATTCTAGATCTATACATTTGGAATCTTGATAACATTTTTCAAGTTGTCTGCTAATTAATATTGAAATTTCAGATTGTCTACCACTATCAAAATGTTGTGCAGCCATTGGATTAAGTTCAACATTTATATGTAACATTCCTTCATTAGGACGAGAAGTCTTCGGTTGTTGAATATCACAAGTTACTTGTGCTATAACTCTGAAATAAATTTGTTATTTTATATTATTTTATAATGTTAATATTTTTTTAATATCTAAATAATAAAACATTTATATATATATATAAATTAAATATATAATTTATAATTAATATTTATTGATCAATATCAATATAGAAAATATAAAATATCAAATATAGAAAAATTTTTATGTGTAAAAAAAATAAATTTGAAATATTAGTTATAATATTTTTAAGAAATTGTCATATATTAAATTAATATTAATTTTACCTCGTTTGACCAAGCAAAACCATACAACTACCCCAATTAGATGCAAAATAAATTTTAACAGGTCGTGCTTCCAATAAACTTCTACCATCTAATCGCTAAAACATATTTTAATAAACTTTTAATTTTTATTTTATAAACTAAAATTTATTTTACTTATTACACATTATTTTATAAAGTAAAATATGATTACATACTATTCCTTGTTCGACTGATTTATTTACAAAATTTTTTTTCACAATTTGATAATAGAATTTCCTTCATGATTTAAAATATCTATTTACATATAAAGATATATGTAGATTTTAAAAAAATATAACCTTTAATTCAAATAATGATATAATGATTATTATATAAATTTTATATTTTATTATTTTATCACTATAGAACTGTTTATGATTATTTATAATATAAATTAATTTTCTTTTTCATGTTAATATTATTATAATAAAAGATAAATATTTTTAAACAGTATTTCATTTCGTATCCTATTTCATTTTTTATCATCGACATTTATTATGATAACGTAAATTTATTAATCGATATTTTCGAGATAATCGATTTAGAAATAGATTATGTATGAGTATTATTTTATCATTATGAAAAGTAATAATGGAAAATAATAGAGTAATTAAAATTAATTAAAAAAATTTTAAACTATTAATTTTATTTATAAATTTATTTATAAATTAAATCAAATTTATTATTACAATATATAAGAAATATAATTTTTATTAAAATTTTTATTAAAATTATATATCTATTATTAATTTAAGTTTAAAAATTATATATAATTATTTTTACAATTTTTTTGTAATTTCTATATTTTTTTAAATAATTATCTTAAATAATGAGAATTAATGTTTAAATATTTCGTTCAATTAGAATATAAATAAGCATATATTAAATTAATTTTCGTTCTTATAATATATAATTTCTTCCAATCGATATTGTCGAAAATATAATATATATTGATAACATTTGACATCATCATGCAACATATGAACATCCCTTAATATTTCTTATTAAAAAATTGTTTTTTTTGATTCTTTTTAAATTTTAATGTGATTTTACTAATTAGAATCGAAATACTGAAATAAAATTTTAATAACAAAATAATAACTTCAAGATATTATAAAAGTAATAATATTAAAGAATTGATGTATTAGTTACGCGCTCGCGCGTATTATATATATATATATATATATATATATATATATTATATATATATATATATGTACACCACACAAGTGGCCATGCCCGGTCATATCTGCTTCAATCAGCTTAGTTTATACGATCTGTTTTTAACATTGAGTCTTGTCGTCAATAATCCGAATTCTATGATTCAATAACTGACGAATATTGTATCTGTGAATTTTTAAAACTTCACATAATCTTAATTTTAGTGTTTGGTAAAAGTTGTATTTAGATATCATACGTTTCGTATATAATGCTGATCACGGTACGCGTGATACGTACGGATAGATACATATAGATAGGGTCGATCTGTGGAATGGATGCTTAATAAGTTACGTTTCGTGTTGCTTATAATCATTTTTCTCGAAATCTTTTATAACGTTTGCTTTTAGTTATTGTTGGTAAGTTATATTACCTTTTAAAAAACATATCTAATTTTATTTTGACTTCTATTGACTACTTTTTCATTTTTCTCGATAATGCATCGTAAGATAGCTTTTATATTGTTGTTGTAGTAGCGATTGCCTTTGTACGTCATCTGTAGGTAAATATCTGTTACATTTATCTTTCTTTCGTTACTTATATGTCTTTAATATTTCCAAATATTTCATTGTTTTCTTTTTTTTTTCGGTAATGATATTTTTTTCTTTTTTTAATATTTTATATTCTTAATATTTTGTTTTTCAAAAAGGTATGTGTGTTACGTTAATGTATACCATCTTTTGATTGACTTAATGAAAAGTTTCGGTGTTTATATGTTTGTGTAGAATTTTTTGACAAATTAATAATTATAAAAAATATATAAATTTACATAAAATATAATTTTAATACATGAGAGGTATTCTATATTTAAATAATAAAAATCAAATATTTGTAAAATGTAAAATTGTTTTCTTAACACTGTAAATTATATAAACAAATACTGAAAATTTAAAAATAAATTACATACATTTGTGTTAAAATATATAATTTATTAATCAATATTAAAAAATTAGAATCGAATTATAAATTTATATTATTTGTATTACTTATTGTTTTGCTAGGAAAAAAAATATATATTATATTTATTATATAGTTCACATTATTTTAGAGAATTTTATATATTTTTATATTTCTGCAGAACTTGAAATAATTATCAATGATGCTTTATTAAGGTCATGACAACAATTTGTTATGTGCTTTCTATAAATTATATTTGTGGTAAGTAATTAATATCTTATCATTATTATAAACTTTTATCTAAATGCTTAATATATATTATTATTATTAAAAATTGATATAAAAATATATATTTTATTTTATATATCATTAAAAATAAGAAATAATTATAGTTGATTTATAAATTATATCGTATATTTATCTGATTTATTATCTTACATTTTACATATTTTTTTTTATCAAATTTCAATTTTTTTACATTAATTAAAATTTAAAGTAATGAATAAAAAATAATAAAATAAAAAATAATAAATAAAATAAAAAATAATAAAAATATATACAATATTATGTGTAGATTATTGTGGTTTTGGATAAATCATTCATTTCTTGGTCAAAACATTATAAAGAATTTCATACAATTATGGAATCAAATGATAGGAAAAATGTTTACCTTACAAAAACGGGTGATAATTCTTTGAATTCTGGAATGAGAGACACAATGATTGTTGGTCAGACAAATATGACACAAGGTGAACAATTTATTTAATATATTTTAAAACTTTTATTAAATATTCATATAAATAATATAAATTTAAATAATATTAATATAAAATTATAATATTAATCAAAAAACATACAATTATCTTATAAATATATTAATTAATTGTTTAATTATTAGAATGTGGTGAACCTGTAATGAAACCTGGAAATGTATCTAGTGTTTCAAATAATCAAGCAAAGTGGTCTAATACACAAAGTAAAAATTTTATAATTAATGCAGTTCCAGTAAAAAATGAAGTAAATATTAAATATAAAATAACATCAATAATAATTTATATAATGTACATTTAAAATACATATTAATGAAATTATATTATATTTTTAGATTGTTCATCTTGAAGATGGAGCACATTGCAATAAGAAAATGTATTATTATGATAGACATTATACTGGCCATGAAGAAACAGAGAGACCAACACGTAGAGGAACAAAAAGATATAGAGATAAAGATGCACCTAAAAGAGCATTGTATGTTGTATTTGTATATTGATTAATATTTTGATAGTTTATAATATTTTGTTTATAAATTTTATTTTAGGTCTGCCTTTTTCTATTTTTGTCAAGAATTACGTGGAAAAATGAGAGAATTACATCCAGAAATGGGAGTAGGTGACATTGCCAAAGAGTTGGGTAAATTATGGATGAGTACAGACCTTCAAACTAAATCAAAGTATATGGCAATAGCAGAAGAAGATAGAGCCAGATATGAAAGAGTAAATAATTTATTAAATTATTTTATTAATTAATTTTTTATTAATTAAAAATAAAATTATTAATTTTTTATTTTTTAAGGAAATTATTGCATATAATAAAAGAGTAAAAAACTATGACCCTGAAGAAGTTGGACCTGTATAAGTTTTTAAGTCTATTAAAAAAGAAGGGACAATGTATTTTGCCCTAAGACAAGCACTCGCCAATTAAAAATGTATAACAATTTTACTAATAGTTTAGTATTGTCAATTGTTGTATATATTATGTACACTATTGGCATTAACAAATCTGAAAAAAAAATTATAAGCTACCATATTTGGTTATAATTATTTTTCAAATAGTATTTGAAAGCAATTATTCTACATTTATTTTGTAATTGGATATTATTTTTTGTGAATAAGGTGTGCTAATATATTTACAAATGATACCTAATACAAGTAATAATATTAATATCAATAGTAATAATAATAAAAATGATAATGAAAAGTATGATGCTGGTAATAATAATAATAATAATATTATTATTATTATTAAAAAATAATAATGATAATCTATATTGCTATTAAATATGTTATACACAATTGAAGCACAATAGCAAATAAAAGTCAAGCAGAGTGAGCTTTGTACAGTGCACTTTTCTTGTCTAATTATGCATTATTCATGTTTATAATGATAAAATTAGATATCAGGGACTATTTATATCTAAAACCCTGTATAGAACACATATTCCATGTATTTTGTTCTTTTTCCAATAAAGATAAAATCATTTAAAGCATTTATAATCCTTAAATTCTTGTTTTATTTTTATACATTACTTTTCAAATTTTATTAAAATTATGAAAAGATATAATTAACATAATTTTTCATTAGAAACTAATTTATTTGATTATTTCACTCTTTTTTTGTAAAATTACACACCAATTTCCTTGATCATAATATACTTCATTTATTGTAATATTTGGTATTTCTAAACATAATTGCGATAATTCATTTTCTTCAAATACATGATAATATCTAAGAAAATTTCCCCCTCCTTTTCTTTTCCATGGAACAAGCATGTCATTGCAAATAAATTTTGTACGGTTTTCATGTATTGGTAATGTTACACCATATTCTGTTAACTTTTGTGTGCATGAAATATTATTTTCTTTTTTAGTTAAATTATATCGCAAATAAGCTGTTTGAGTAGAATCTTTTTCTTGTTCTTTTGCCCACACATAAATTAAACATTTTCCATTTGGTCTAAGAATTCTTGCTAATTCAAAAATTGCTTGTTTCCGTCGTTCATGAGTTGAAAGGTGATGAATTACAGCTATACATATTATTGCATCCATACTATTATCTTTATAGGGTAAATATAAACAATCACATAAGAATATTTCAAAATTTTTACTCCGACATATTTTCATCAAATTATAACTTCTATCACATCCAACCTATATTATTAAAAGTTCTATTTTATATACTATTACATTATATACAACTATAGAATGAATAATTCATACCTTAAATAAATGTTTATCTTGATAAAGATATTTACCATTTCCACATCCTACATCTAATAAAATATCACCTACTTTTAAAGATTGAAGAAATTTTGATACATTGGGCCATTGTTTATGTCTTGTTTCATCAAAATGATTTGAAATTTTATCATAAACCTATATGAAAATGCTTAAATTTATTCAATAACTTATTAAATATATTTATTAAATATAATCATATGATATGTGTAAAAGATATTTTATAATACATACACTATGTACATAAGAAGTTTCTATTCCTAGCGCTATTTTATTATCAATAATAGTAGTAGAATTATTTTGTTTTGTATCACAATATTCAGGAAAGTTACAACAACAATCACCCCTGTGAACTTTTCGAAATGTAAATGATACTCTTGTTCCCCGTGATTGAGTTGTTATTCCATTTGAAGTTTGTACTATATCATTATGTCTAGGACAAATTCCATGTGACCATGCATAACGAGCTTCTCCTGACATAATTAATAATGAACGTGGAGGTAAAAAAAGAGAAGCTTTTTCATTTTCCTTTTTAAAATTCATTATGCATGCTGAACCTAATGATAGTGATAATATACTATCCTCAAAAACACTATGTGTATCAATATGAGGTGGAATACCTTAATAAAATATAAAATATTATAATTTTAATTATATGAAAAGATTAATATTAATTATTAAAAGTTAAAATTTACCTTGACCAGGTAAATAATGATTAATTGTCAATTGATCATATTCATATGAAACATCATGATATTGCTTAAATAATGTTTGTAAAAACTGATAATTTTTAGGTATAGGTATAATAGGCTTATCCAGATCTACTTTATTTGTATCATATTGAAATTCATATCCAAAATGTTTAACTTTTCTATGTTTTAAGTCAGATGATTCTAAAATTTAAATAAAAAACAAATTTATATTTAATAATTAAATTATTAAATTATTAATTATTTAATTTAATTTCTAACATAACATTTCTTTATATAAAAGCAATGAGATTTTTATTACCTTCATTATTCCAAGTAATTGTACTTAATAACATTTTTTCTTCTTCTTCAGTTATAAAATCTTCAATTAATTTAATACCAGAAGGTAGATTTAAAGACCATTCACAATAATTTAAATCAGGAACTAAAACAAAAATATAATATCAAATATTGAAAATCTTTGTATTTCTTTGTCTGTAGATGAACATATTTTCACTAATACTAAATTAAAATATATTCTATATATATTTTAATGTAAATTAAATACCTGATTCTGTAAATGTTGTATACAATGGTGTATTTTGTCCATTAATTTTAATATTACCATGAATTTTATTATGTATATTTATAGCATCTTCTATTGAATAAAATTTAATAAAACAATATGACTTATTTGGCAACATTATTAAATCATATTTATCAATAAATAGATTTATCATATCTTGTAATGTTTTTCTTTGTAATCCAGTTACTAATCCAGCATTACAAATCATTATATACTGCAATAAAGTAAAATGAAAAATATTTCCAATATTTTTATAAATAAGTCTCACAAATAAATATTAACCTGTGTAGGATTATTACAACATTTAATATTCATATCTCTAAGAAGCCTATGATATGCTCGTTTTTGTTTACGATAACTTTTTTTAGTTAATTTATCTTCCATTATTTTTTAATTTTTTTTTTATCAATTTATTAAATTAAATACAGGCAAAGTACAGAATAGATTAATCCTAATTAAATTTAGTTTTATATTCCGTGTATCGGAGAGAATAACACTTGCTTATATATCATTTTAATATCACTTTTAACATTATCGATTGAATAAAATATATCATAGAATATAATAAAATTCTAATATTAATGTATCCAAAAATATGTACATTAATTATAATTTCACATGTATGCAAATTATAAGTACACAATATATCTTGTAAATAATTTTCATTCTTGAAAAAATTATAGAAAATTTTTATATATTATCTCTTAGGTTATATTATTCTAATATAAAATCGAAATCTTTGATAACAAAAAATTTTAATCTGAATTTATAATTTTGTATCAGGAGAATAAAATTGAAAAAAAAATGATGTGCAAAATTTCTCTCGATTTAATACGAAATATAGGAATATAAAGTATTTTGCTGTATGCTTAACAAAAAAACAAATTAAAACTTAGATAGTAATGCTATCTCGTGGTTGGATATCTGAAGCTTCGACTTTTTATTAATATAGCAGAATATGCAAGGAGATATTCACAGTTACAAAGAAGAACATTATGCGAGAAGTAACGAAAATCATTATTTTAAAATTATTTAATAATTAATTTTTTATTAAAAATTGTTGTATTTTAAAGCATCTTAAAACTGAAATCTCAAAGAAATTTCTTAAATTAATTTTAATTTGAAAATTTTTTTAATTAATTATTTATTATTTATTAATTGTTAAAATTAATACGAAACTTTTTTGAGAATTTTAAAATATAAATAAAATATAAATATTTTTAGTAGAAAATTATTTATTAATTAATTTTTAGCAATATAGCAACATAGCTATATATAATACTATATATAATAGCTACATATAATGATGGGAAGTATTAGGAACTACATAATCAAAAATATAATATAACGTTTTTTTATCTTTCTCGTATTGTTACTCTCCTTCTCTATGATGTTACGAATACCTCCTTGTATATTCTGTTGTATCAAGTCGAAGCTTCTAGCATCCATCCGCAAGATGGCGTCACTAAATTTTTCTATTTTCTTCTTCTAACATATATTCCAATCGCACTTTTATGATAAAAATATATATTTGAAAAATATTGTAAATAAACCTGTATAAAGTAAGAAACTTACAAAAATATTAAGGAAAACAGAAAAAAAGAATTTCTTGGAAGAAAAAAGAAAAAAATAAAAAATATAACGATATAAAATATATATATATATTATATATATAAAAATATATATAAAATATAATATGATATATATGAAAAAAGAAATGTATATAAAATATATTACGAAATATAATGATAACGTATATGTATATATAATATGTAAATATGTTTATATATAAACATTGATACATGTGATATTCAATTTATAATACAATACTAAAAAAAGGAAAAATAAAAAATGTCAAGATTTTTATTGAAATAATTTGATTTCTGATCAAATTGATCATTATAGAATCGCCAAATAGAATTTCCAAAAAAATTATTGCTTCATCCATTACGCTTTTCGTTTATCAACGAAATATCTCCATAAGGGTTACTTAGATCATGTTCTATCCAGATTCACCGAAGATGGCACAGGTTTTATCGATGCTGGACCAACAACGTCGTGTACAAACATGATCGCACGATCCATGGTTCACCATTTCCTCGGCGGATGAAGTGAAAGCCATGATCGAGGCTGGAGTAGAATGTAAAGAAGTCGATGTGATTCGAGAGAGGGAAACCGCTTTGCCGTCCAGTTACTCCAAGGCAAGCTGAAAGGAATGTTGAGCGGTGTGCATCGCAACGCCAACAAGTTCTCTCACACTGAACATCTCTAATCAACGTCAACATCGTCGACGACGCGCCATTGGTGAGTAAACAACCCTCTTCTTGCGCTTCAATCCATTTTGTTCCTCCACGCTATTCCAGACAGTAGTCTCTCGGCAACCCTCGTTACGAAGTCTTATAAGTATTTGCTTTTGATACTTTTATATAATCGATTTTTTCAAAATCGTTTCCTGATTCAAAAAATCGTTGAGATTTTAATTCAGATTCGAGAAATTTATACTTGATTTCGCATTAAAAATTTAATCACGTTTTCGAGTTGCATCTCTAAATTTCAGGGAAGATGTTATAAAAGAACATTGTTTTGGATTTTAATTGTAATAATTTAATAAGTAACTGAACTTTATCATTGATAAAGTATGATTATATTTTATAGATTATACTTATAGATATATTTAAATATTTTTAATTATTTAAAATATTTGGTAGTTTTTCTACGTATTTTTATTATATAAAATTTGTAGAAATATATTTTTAAAAAGTATAATGTTATTTTTAATTGAACAGTAATGATATTTATTGTGAATCTATTAAGAATAAGAATTAATGGACACTATTGAATAATATATTTCAAAGTAATTTAGTAAATTAATTCGTAAATTTTTTTTATGAACAAAAGCGTTAATGGAACGGCAATTTACAATTATTTCTTCTTGAAATGTATCATTTTGATATTTATTACATACCAGAGAAAGTGTTGTTGCTATTAGCAAAAAATATTCACCGAATTATATTATTTTTTTCAAATATAAAATATAACTTATAAAAATTTATAAAAAGTTTAATGAAATTCATATTAATTTTTAATTTTAATTTAGATTGGTTTTTCGATGTTAATTCGCATTAAGTGAAAGCGTATATTTCTTACTATTTAGTATTTAAACTCGAAACATTTTTAAAAAAAATAATAATATTTTTCCACGTATTAATAATTTTAAACATCTTTGAATAAACATACACTCAAATATTTTTCAATCGATTTGTAAATATTTAGATACATCGATAGGAAAAGAGATCCTGTTGATGGAATAGATCTTCTTTTCAATATTAAACTGTAACATATTTTTTAGAATGTATTTTTAAAATTTTTTTTAATTACATATTGCACGAAATTACAATTATTCTACAAAAACATTTATTAAATTTACGATTAAAAGTGTTTTAAAGAAAAGAATAGAAATAAATTTTTCTTACTTAAAGGATAGTAATTTATAAGTGTATTCTATAACATGTTTGATATACGATATATATATATATATATAATGACTGTTTTAAACTAAACTACATGTCTATCTTCCAATATTTCATCGCGATGATTTCCATGATAATACCGTAATAAAAATGAAACGTAATTATAAATTATTTATGATAGGAAACAAATATATTGAATAGTTTTATGTAACGGTCGCGATATAATATCGTTTAATAACTAATTATGTTCGATTATGAAAAATGTATTACAGAAATTTTTCTTTTCTTTTTCTATTCTTGCATTCTCATTACATATATTTTTTTTAATTTTTTTTTTTTTTAAATGATATGAAAATTAGAAGGATCGTAAAAAAAAGTATTAAAATAAAAAGAATTAAATTTCCCACGTTTCATCTTCGCAATATAAATATATAATTGTTTTTTTTTTTTTTTTTTAACTTATGAATCATCGATGAATGCATTTATGAATATAAATTAGAGATTATATCATTGATATTTTTCTAGCATTGCCCTTGCTCGTTAATTATACCGTGTTGATATGCCGTGTTCTAGAAAGAAATTTAGGATGTGAAAATACATTTGATTTAACTTTTACTTTATTTTTGTACTGTTTTATAAAATAAAATAATAAAAAAAAATAAGCTCAATTTTTACTACGACAATTACATATATATAGATTACATATACATGAAAAATATATGAATTTTTAAAATCGAATTTATATACTTTTTGTACGAATAGATGCAATTTTTCATATTTTCTAAAACAATGGCATTAAATTATTTAAAACTGTATAATTAACTATATAATTTTTATAAGACTAATTACAGTTTGAAATTTGCAAACTATTTTCATTAATAATAAAAATATAATATAATAGAAAGAATAAAACTTGAAAAATATTACGTTGTAAAATATCGTATTAATTTTTTGATTGTATACGTATAATGAATATTCAAATAATCCTTCTATATATTTTAAAACTTTTTCATTCTTTTTTTTTTCACGTTGCGCGACACACCTTTTTCCGTATTCTTTTATGGTTCTAGCAAAAAAAAAAAGAAAAGATGTCTTGTTAATTTATGAACTCCTTTAAATCTTTCGTTTTTTTTTCTTTTTATTCTCATTGCATTTACGATATATGAAATATTTTCCATCTAGAAAGTGTTGTAAACGATCGAAATTGATGATAATGTCCAAATAATACCGGATATTTATGCAATCTTTTATTTCATTACAAAAATAAAATATAAACAACAAAATGGAACAATTGGGTAAAGATTTATTTTAATTTCTGGTAATATTATCGGATAAATATTTTCACATTTTCGGATATTATATTTGATATATTTTGACATATTATGCATTTCCCATTAATCTTTATTGTTTTATATTCGAAAAAATAACTCGAAGAAACGATCAAATTTTTTAACAAGTTTTGCCAATTAACTCACAGAATTTTCAGGTACGGAAGGTGTAACCACGGTTTGCTTATCTTTCTGTATATCTACCAAGCGTGTTTAACGAAATCCGAGTGAAAGTACATCACAATTTGCGCGAACGTGTGTATAGCTAGCACGTGCTTACGTTCCTTATTATAATTGGGGCATCGTTTACATTGCGTTACGTTACACTGTTCTACGATTCCACATTACGAAATGAAACTCAGGGACTTGGATTTAGTCGAAATTAGCATTATAGAAATATATTTTTTGCCAATTAACGTTTCTTATATATAAATATGGATACCGACGAATGAACAGATAAATTCTATATTTTTTCCTTTTTGCGAGTTTCTTCGACTATGTCATATTGCAGACAAAAATAATTTCATCCTTCGAATCTTTAATTCTATACTGATTAGAACTTTTATACTGATCTCGCGATAAAATTACTTATAAAACTTACTTCATTAACCGAATATTATTCTCCTTTATGAACTCTTGAAAAACTACTTGAAAAACTATCAATGCCAATGTCTTGCTCGTCCTTGGAAATAATTTTAAAAACTCGTTCGAAAATTTTGTGACGAATTATCAACTTTTGAATTTTATCAGAAGAAAGAATAATATTGCCAATACGACTTTCTTACTCGTACTGATTTCATCGATGAATTCTCCGACCGACTATCCGATGTAAAGTCGGTCGAGAAACCGAGTTGACACGAGTTAGGTTAGTTATGACAAAGAGAAAATGATTTTTTTTTTCTCTTCAACCACTTGTCTCCGCGGGTTTCCATTCGAAGGTATTAACGGTTGATCGGCAAATTGACATTCCACCATGATCGTGTGCTTTCTAATCACGATTGTCACGTGCACTCTATCACCACGCGGATATTTGTGTACAGACACGTGCATCGTTTGACGTTTACTCGTGACCACGATCCATTTAGATTTTACAAGGACTGCGCGCGAGAAACTGCGTGCAAAACGTTCACTGCTCTCTTTCGGAATGTTGCTCTCTCTCTCTCTCTCCCTCTCTCTGTTTTGTCTCACGTGAAATCGCGATTTACGTAACAGAATTTTCTTCTATCCAAGTCGAGATAACAAAATTATACGGATAACAATCAGATAACATCTGATTCTATATTGCGAGGTGTCTCGTATTTAAGCAACTATAGAAGAGGAAACGAGGTATTGGACGATACAGTACAGGACATGTACAGTATATATGTACAGTGTAATATATATGTGTGTAGCATTACGAAAAAGGAACGTTGTCGCGAACGTTTTTACTTTGGAACAATGTGATAAGAAAACGATTTATTCGTGTCAATGAAGAGATTGAAGATAGGTAATTAAATTTTAATGAAATGTGAAATAAGATATAGGCGCGAGAATATTATTAAATTTTGATATTTATTGATTTAAAGAGTGAAAGGATCGTTACTTTCTCTTTCTGCAAGACTGAGGAAGAAAAGCGGAAGTAATAGATCAGATTAAGCTATTCGATACCACAGTTCTCATACATTTTTTTATAAATCCTTTGTACATATATTTTTTCGTGATTGTATCCTTGTGCTTTATAAATCAATATCACATTCCGTTATTGTGATTTGCGCAGTTATTTGTGATTAATAAACAAGAAATAATATAAAAAATGAATTTTTGTTGATAATCAAAAAAGTGAAATCGAGCTTCCGCTATCGAGATTCATCCGAGGTTCTTTGCTAGAAATTGGAGAAAAAGAATTCAACCAAACTCCAAAACTCGTACGTTCGAGCGGGAAGTAATTAAAATAACGATCGCCTAGGTTTCCATAAAGGGAAGAAAAACGAGGCAAAGTGTACACATTAGCCGTATTACCGTTCCTAAAAACACTAAAACTAGACTCGATGTGGCAATGGTGACCAGGCCAACATGGGACGACGACGACGTTTCAAAACATTTCGATTTCCTTTCTCTGAAAGTTTGCCTCGTATCACGATGAATCAGACAGGTTGTTAAAAAGTTCAAGAACGCGAGGAATTATGATTTTCTTTCGACACGTCTCTGTTTTACGTTTTTCTCGGCGTAAATATAGTTTTTTTCTTAGAAACTCGAAGTTGAAAAAATTATATATATATATTATACAGGATATGTTTCTCAGTATTTGTTACCTTTTTTCAATATTTTTTCGTACATTTCTCGTACGTATTAAATCACGTAAATAGAATTAAATTAGATTTAATAGTATAAAATTTGATATTGGTGAAATTTTAATCAAAATATCACTTTAAAAAAGGAAATAATGGAAAATGCAGGAGATGCAGGGGCAAAATTTTAAATTACAAAATGTTAAGAATCGAGCTGTTCTATCACATTATTGGAAATTGGCAAATTTTGCAAAATTTAAAATTCAAGAAATGAAAAAAATAAACTTGTAACTTTGAGAATTGATCTCACCCGCTTTAAAAAAAAAAAGAATATACACAAACTTTCGATTAAAATCGAAATTACCTATTACGTAAATTTCCCTAAGCGAGATAACACGTTTAAATACTTTCATGAACCACTGTAATAAAGAATTGGATAGTGAGATAGATAATATCCTGGAAAATCAACTTTCTTTTCGATTTAGAATTAATTAAAGTCAACGTTAGTTTTCAGCGAGCTCATCGAGAAACAGCTTGTTGAAAGATAGTGTTTTTTTTTTTGCAATGAGTCGGTGAACAAGTGTCGTTAATTTATGGTTGGTAACATTGTTTCGAAGGAGATGGCGAATACTCAAGACGCGTGGAGTCACGGAATTCAGAATGAGTTATCTAATCGTTAGATGTGAACTGGCTCTTGACAATTGGAAGATTCTCTCGGGGATTGTTCTCATAACAATCACACCTGCTGGGAATTGCTTTCAAAGAACGATCGTTCGCAAGATAATATAGCGACTTCTTAATGTGAGAATCGTTCTTACCACTTACAATCACCAAAGTTCCCTCTTATTGAGTTACGATATATATATATATCATAAAGAGAAAAATATTAAGAAAGATAAGGTTCCTTGTGCATTCCAGTGTCCTTTTTTCTTTTTTATTTTTTTTGAATTATCGTTTATGCTTAAATGATCTCGATTACCTTCAGATATAGAAATATACGAAAACCAATTTTTCTTTGATCTTTATTGTGTTTTCTTCAAAGTGTTTCTTCTTTCTTAAAAGTGATATCTACATCATATAGGAGTATAGAGACGAATAATTATCGTGTTTAAATTTAAATTTAGAATTCGAATTTTCTGCACTGGTATTTTTTCGTTATCTGCAGGTTGTTGTTCCTGATCCTGGAACCAGAAGTCCTCGCGCGATACCAGTTGTTCGTGCAAAAATATGCGGCCTCGGTTTGGGAATGAAAATGTTCACAATAAAACCTCTCAGAAAGCTCTTCTCTCTTTCTCCTTCTCGCCAGCCATCATTCTTCACCTTGTTTCGAGAGGACAAAATTTTTGTAATTTTCAAAATTTCTTCCCTTGAACTTGAAAGAGTTCACAAAGAGCAGTGATGAAAATGTTTGAACATATTTTCACAGGATGAATATTTTATTAGCAAGTTTTTAATTATCGATTTCACACAATTTTCTTAACAATCTTATCGCCACGTCGATGATGACACACATTGGTGGAGTGCGTAAAAGGGGTCGCAAAGTCGAAGGTTGGGAAAAAACTCCGCCGCGTCAACTCGATTTTATTACACGCCATTTACATATTTCTTGATATTTCTATTCATTGTTTTTGCGCAGAAGGGCGCATTCGATGAGCCAATAGCCAATTTACTACTTCGTAGTAACGCACAGCTTCTGCCGTCTCACAAGCTTTAACCTTTTCTCTCGGCGATCCAAGTGGCCATGCATGGGAAAGTACTTTCCTAAGGATTCTCACAATCACAGTTTAACCGTCTCGTATACAATAATAAATATTATACACGAAGTTCTATGGATTCGCGGTTTTAAACGGTTGTCGCCGCTTGTTTCATTGATCATTGGCATGTAGCGCCAATGTAATTATGGTTTATGCATACGGCCGTTTCAAATAAAATTTTAATTACAATCTTTTTCAATATTCCTATTGTAAAATATTAAGAATCGGTACTTTCCCTTCGAGTTATTCAAAATCATTCAACGCTTCTTATTTACACGCCATGAATTCGTTCCAAGTTTTTTTTTTTTTTTGCCTTTAATGACGGATCTCGTTCCATTGTTTTCAACCGCGCAAAAGTGGGACTTGTCTCCGACCGAGGAGGCATAAATTACACGAAAAATCCTCGTCAAATGCGAGGAGACTCTTCGAATCGAAAAGCGTGCGAAACGAAAGCGATGATTTTTTTCTTTTTTTTCTCATCGCGAAACTTCTTGATCTTCTCACTGAAAATAATATCGGGAATAAGAAGGCGGTAATGGAAGCAGTCGATGGTCAGCCGATGACCGTGATCTTGGATCTTGGCCAGAAATCCCGTTCTCCATTGATGACCGGTTTTAACGCATTCGAGGAAATGACATTACCCTGTCTGTAATTATATATGTGTGACCGTGGCTGATACGCAATGTAACTTCAAATATTATTGTTCAAATTGTTTCCAATTTTAAAAATTTCGACTATTATTATTATTATTATTATTATTATTATTATTATTATTATTATTAATATCCTCTTAATGATACGTGTATATATATATATATATATATATTTTTTAATATTTTTAAATATTAAGAGAACAACAGTAGTTCGTGTTAAGTATTAATCCCTGTTATTATTCGAGTCAAATACCGAAAAATCGAGGAGGTAATTCAGTTTCACGAGTGGGTGAGTCGAGTACGTGTTGTGCCGGATGGCCTTGAAAGACACGACAACGACCGAATGACGAGAGAAGTAAGAAATTTATATTTCGCGTTATATTACGCGCGTTTGATTGGGTTACTTAGAAATAGTAATAATTTATCGCGCTTATTAGGCTCTATTAGCGTTGCGTGTTCAGCTCGATCAACTTCCCGTCTAATTATCATATTCCATTCCTATTATTTATCATTATATCGTATAATAATATGGAATTAGCCATTTACCAAACCGATAAGCAATCGTCAAAAAAAAAGGAGAGGAGAAATATATTTTTTCGTGTTTTTAATCCGTGATTTAAAAATTACGTGAATCATCTGAAACGAGTCGGTATATAATAAATTAGCTTTCGAATCAAATTCAAAATGGACGTGAAATTTTCTAACCTGTCGTTCTTCACACCAATATTATTAATAACACTTAAGTTTATTCTCGATATTTTCGATATATCAACATTATTTCGATTATTATTATTATTATTAAAATTGTTATCACGGGATAAAATCAAACGCCAAGGATCGTACTGCGTTTCGATTAACCCGATTCTTTGCTCCAACTCTTTCCAAAAGAAAAACGACATTTTGTGATCAGCGCGCAATCTATGATCGAGCTCTATTTAACATAACCTCAATTCTCTTCAAAACCGATCTCGAGAATAAAAAAAAAGAAAAATGGTGAAAAGGTGAAAAAAAAACTGGGGCAATGACAGATAATGGATGAAGTTTGTTTCCACCACGTATATATATATGTATATAGGTGTATCTCGTTCAACTCATGCGGAAAGTTTCACGTGATCGAGCGACATAAATCCAATCGCCCAGGGGTAGATATGTGAATGCCTCGAGATAACCGAGTGTGTCCGCTCACTTTTTCTTTGCGAAACGCACGCTGGCTCGCGACGCCAAACGAGGAAATGCGCAATGGGCACGTGAGCCATCGAGACCGGCCGCCCCGCTTTTCATCCTTCGAAAATCCTTCGAAAATCCGTCGAATTCTCCTGTGCTTCGCCCGTGAACATTCGCGAACATTTTAGCTCGGAATTTGAAAAGCAAAAGTTTTCCCAAGGGTTTTGAACGGATTTTTTGTTGTTTGATTTTTCTTAACCTAACCTAACCTCTTAATTTTTCTTTTTAAATCTTTTAATAATTATCGATATTCTTAAGCATCGTTACATTGGTTATACGATGTTCTTACTCGTGATTCGTCATCGATATCCTGGTTCCACATCGCTGTTGTTATCTGTAATCATTATCGAAGTATTATCCGATGGTATTAGACGAGATTGCAAATTATACGTTGTTTTCCTCGAGGTGGATCTCGAAGGACGTGGAAGGAAGGACCGTTACACGTTAACCGACGGATGAATTGTTATTTGGAATTCGAGACACGGGGAACAGATAGATAGAGTAATGGTGTCCGTCTGAATTTTTAAGCAATGCTTGGCCACCACTTCTTCGCATAAAAAAGTATTCGTCGTTTTAAAATTAGTTAATTGAACGTGGACGAAAGAAGAAAACAAGATACCGATGAATGAAAAATCGTCGTTTAACTTGAAAAAAAGGAACGAGCAAAAAAATGATTTAATTAATTTATTATTAATTCAGCTCTTCTTATTTGCATATTTTTTTTTTCCACTTTATAATACATTCGATTACGTCAGAGGAATTTCTGCTAATTAATAATTGCTATTCATAATTTTTTTAGAATCAAAGAGAGAATTAACTCTAATTCAAAATATTGTAATTTAAATATTTAATTTATGATGTAAAAATCGAAAAATGATGTAAACTCGAAATCTAAATATTTGCATATGCAATATGGACATATTTTTGTTCTTTTTGGATCATGATAATCTTTATTATTTGCACTATTGATTAAAACGGAACTTGATCTATGTATGTATAATTTGCAAAAAAAAAAATATATCAGAATGAATAGAAAAATTTTCTATTTATTACAACTAACATAAATATAAACAACTTTATTCCAACTTTACATCTCTTTGTATTCTACTTGAGTGTGCTATATATTATGCATTTGTGAGACCACTCCTTGGCTCGCAGACGTCATGGAACGACACAACATAGAACTCGATAGTCCTTGAAGTGTCACAAATACAAATTTTGGTATCTCGTACAAACTGCTCACATTTCTAAGTTTTGCAAATAATATAAAGCGAGAAGATTTACAATTTTTATTTTAAAAAAATTGAATTCGATAATCGAGTTCGAGTTGTTCGTTGTTAGCCGAAATGATGCATTTGACGAAAGAGATCGAAGTGAACGAGAAAAGGTAGAACGAAAGGCGAAAACACTCGAATCGTCGATAATTACTTCAACTTTCCTGTTATTGGAGCGTTTCTACTAACGTACGAATCAAGGATTGCTCGCGCTTTTTACCACAAGTGTGTAGATTATACGAACACCTTGCCGCAATATCTTGGGAGAATACAAGTGAAAGGAACGGGTTATGAACTCGCGATACTTCTTCTAATAGTGGTTTCGTTTTATCTATTTACACTAAATTTTTTTTTTATAAAAATTTACCTTGAAACCTCAATTACATTTGATGTTTCACGCTTTATACGTACAAACGAACGAGCCACAATCGATTAGCTTTTGAAAATGTACCTGATCATTTTCATTCTTTACGCTTCCACAATACCCATCTAAAATGTCACTAAAAGATTATTAAGTTAATTGATTATGAAATTGGTCGAGTCGAACTTCTCGATGCTTTAAAAAGGTTATTAAGATTGAACGAGAACAATTTTTGTAAATGAAATCTTTACAAGGAAGGAAAAATTGATATTGCATTTATCCTAACGAATCGATCTAGAATAACGAATTCCAGTCATGCCCGTTAAACATCTAACCTGCAACGGTATTGCCTTTTACTATTGTTACACGCTAACCGATTACCAACACTCTTATGCAACAATTTCGTTGCCTTCTCAACGGTATATGGGTTCTATACGCATGCGCAATGATGAGATAGCGCATCATTCAGGACGCCATTCATACATGCGTGAGGATGCGTTGCATGCGTTACAATGATGCATTTAAAATAAACAACTCTATTTAATCACGTTTACTTAACCTATATAAAAATTAGTGTTTAAAGCAAACGTGTGCATGGCTTTTTGCAGGGATGTGAGGATAAAGATTCAAGATTATTAATTTGTATGATCTTTATGAATATTTAATACGATACGATACGATATATTCAAAAAAATATAAATAATATTTGCATCCGTTTGTATATTTTAAGAAATGAAATTTATAAAATTTTGCAAAAAAATTTCTTGATTTTTAAAATGATGATTATTTTTTCATAATTCAAGAATTCAACATATATATATATATATAAGACAGGTATTTTTTTTTTTTTGACATAAGGTATAAAATTCAAAAATACAAAATTATTTTTGCCGAATGACAAAAAATTTTAATATTTAGAATATTCCTGACAAGATAATTCAGTAAATATTTCACTTTTTATTTTTAGACTTTATACGGGTGATGTAAGCTCTTTCTACGATTATTTACAATTCTATCCATATAATAATATTCTTCTCATGAATGACAATTTTGTATGACACGTTACGCGTAGGATATTTGTATTTAAGACAATTATTGCACAAAATCCATTATGCTAATGTCGAGGGCTATGAGGCGTATAACGTTTGAAAAGTGCACCCAACAAAGCCATTTATTTATGCATTCACCATGATTACCTTCTCGGAATCTTCCATTACCACACTTGTATTATGTAAAAGTATAATTCTATTATATTGTAAGTTTAATTTTTTAAGTCTGCTGAAAAGTGAATTTCAATCGAAAATTTCAATTTTAAATAATATTAATAATATTAAATAATATTACGAAATTTAAAATTTGCATTTTTTAAATAGAATGAAAAAATAGGATTAAAGAACTTTTACGTTTTTTACTTGATTTATCGACGTACGTCAATAAATTTATATATATATATATATATATATAAAAGAAAAAAAAATGTATTTTATTCAATTCCACATATTTCATTTTTATGTTTCTCGATTTTATTTCACAGATTGAAAGTTCATGCTTTGACAGAGAATGAAATCAAACTGAATATGATGCTGCCGAGGTACATTATTATTGCTATATCTCTAATATACGGTGAGTATTTATTATAATCCATCTATTCTGACGTTTAACATTAATAAAAAAAGTTAATTGTATATAAATACACGAAGAATATTCAGCAGCAAGAATATCGTGTATAAACTTTTTAATATTGAAAATTACCATTAATATTAAAAAGTATACACTTTTTCTCTCGAAATTTTTTCTCAATCTTATCCGTGATACCCATATATTCTTCGCGACACTTCAACGTGCCACCGCTATTGATCAAGAAATATATTTCAGCACGTAAACGCCAAGGCGTTCCTTTATTGCCAAATGGCTATTCGTTCCCACACTTGCCACGTATCGAGGCATGTACACACACGCGCATCCACGTATTCTTCTGTAATGTAAAGGACTTCGATTTGTAAGCGTTTCGTTACACCACTCGGACACGTCATTTCAAACGCGAAACTAACTATGATTCAAATGTAAATTTCGAAGACGAATTCTTCTATAAGTAACAAAGTATGGAACACATTTCTTATGCAATTCGAAATTATTAAAAAAGAGTATCTTCATTTCTTTTATTTTTTTTCTTCACGTTAATATAAATTACGCGTTAAATTACCATACCTGTATTTCACAATACAACATATTACGTAAATGTAATTATACATTTTACAATGATTCGTACGTACGATCGATTTGTTCACGGTATATTGTTTATAATGATAATTATAATATCTTTTTTTGATTTCACTTTTACAGTGACAGAATGCGCCACCCAAGTTTACAAAAGCCACTCGGTCGAGACTGCAGTAGTGGTCAAACCGGCGCTCGAAAACGATGACTTTATTACACAAACCGTCTACGGATTCTTGGATTTTACTACCACTATTGGGAATACGGTGATGGTGTTCAGCCCGCAAAGCGCGCCATCAGGTATATAATTCCACGTTTTTTCCGCACGACTCTTTGTATTATAAAAAGGGGATCGCCTTTTAATCCAACCAACTTAATCGTTTTTCAACGAAAGAGAAATTGCAAAATTGATAAATGGATAAATTTTCACTGCGAAATTCTAATGGAATTTTTTTCTTCTTCTTCTAAAATTGTGAAAATAATTTCGCAAACAATTCGACGTATCGTGATCGAACGATTTTATTTGTTTATCGGCACCGCCTTTCAGGCGGTGAAAAGGAAAAGAAAAGCAGCGTTTCGATTATCCAAACGAAGCCGAGTGAAACGAAGGAAAAAGTGGCCCCCGCTATTCAACCAAGCAAGACGTACAAGACTAATTCCGAGGAAGAGACGAAAAAACAAATTAAAGGAACGAAGGTTGTTGTGAATTCAGTGATCGAACAGAATGTCATTAATTCCTCCGAGGATAATGGATTAAGAACTGTAAAAGATCAAGTAAGATTAATGATATTTTTCGTGAATATTAAATGATTATGTAATATTTGTCCGATACGTTTTAATCGTGAATATTATTATTATTATTATTCAAAAACGAGATTACAAATTTCATATTTCAATTAGATTTAATAATGCATCCTGTATATGTATGTATGCGTGTATGTATGTATGTGTACGTTAAAGGAACCAAAGATTCAAACGCAAGTGATGACAAAAAGTCCTGTAGTATCCTCTCAAGTCCAAATAAAGTCGAAGGATGAAGCGCCTGTGATTAAGAACAATCTTGCGGAACCCGAATATGATTTCCTGTCGAAGCAACCTACGGAAATAGTCGATGAGACGTACAAGGTAAATAAATTCAAATGTAGAAAAAATTTCACGAATATTAAATCGCGAAAGAGAAAATTTTTTAACCACAGAAGTCTCTCTCAGAGTTATTCTATTCGAGGCTTTGAGAATTAATTTGTTACAAATAGAATACACATTCTTTCGATTTTCTTTCTTTTACCATTTTTAATTATCGATTATTTTTATTATTCGAATATAGCTCATAAGTCTTCCGTGTTCCAAGCCATTGAGCAGTAATATAATTTTATCGAGTTCTTGCATGTTATTAACATTGACACGAATTGTTGCTTTGTGTATAAATAGATACGAGATAAGTCAACTGAACCAGAAAATCTAGTTCTTTCCAGCTATTAAATTAATAGATTCTAATATTTTCATTATTAAAAGTAAGAAAGATGGATAATTTATCGTGTTTTACAGGGTGATAAATTATATTTCTTGAAAGAATATTATAATATTATGTATTTACAAATACGTAAGATAATAAGACGATAAGATAATTTTCCTCGATTGAAGTGAAATTCATTGATATATATATATATATATTTGTCATCCTCATCATTTATTAACGTGCAATAATCGGTCATGAACGTGAAAGTTGGGTCTCATCGTCGGATCGCATTCTGATAAACGATTTCACCATTGCAGCTCATCGATTTATGTTTAAAGTTTATTCGATAAAAATCTATCTACCTAATGCGTCATACAAGAAAAATGTCGATTCTATAGTAAGATTCAATCAATATCGTCTCGACTCTCCAACTTGAAATTATTTGAAACATTTACTTATAACATTAACAATCCAAAATTTCCAAAATTTGTATTAATTTTAGCGTATTACATTTTAACGAATATAGAATAATTTTAATAAAAATATTTTTGATTGAATAATCAATCGAGAATATTGGATTAATTCAAGATTAAAATCGTACCCATTCTTATAATCTTGCAGTTGATTAATTTGAGGCCGTCCTCAAAAGCTCACGGAAAACCGAGGCCAACTGGTCGTCGGGAGAAGGAGAATCCAACTGGGCTGGTCACGAAGCTCGGTGGGACTATCGTTAAAGATGGATTGACTACTGTTCACGAGACAAGCGTGATCGGTACCTACATAAATGGGAAATACGCCCAGGTGCTTCAGAGCTCGTCGAGAATACTTTCCGCCACGCCGCCGGTTCAAGAAGGCAAAATCCGTCCCTCGAGCACGCAACGAATCCTGAAGACTATCGGGCCGCAACAGGGAAAGCTGAAACCGCAGCTGGAACCCACACCAACTCATCCTCAGCAAGAGGAATCATCCTTACCCTTGGAAGTTTTGTTTAGCGCTCCAGCTGGTAAAATAGAGAATTTTGATAAAATTTTTATCATATTCAGCATATCGCTTCTTTCTTCCTTTGCCTTTTTAATCCAATCGCATCAAATGACGAGCTGTAGTCGCATGAAGCTATTATGACATTTAAATCGGATGACGAGCTCAACTCGCGCTGCACTATGCATGAATGCATAGAGTTCAATTTCTGGCTAATAGATGGCTCTTATATTCTATTCTAAAACGAAGCAGAAACCATGATGTTCAAAATATATTCTTTTTCTCGTGTCACGTGGATTTTTCACCGGGAAAAAATAATTCTTTGTCTGATATAAGTGTGTGATATTAAAGCAGTGTAAAAAGTGTAGTGTTGCTTTACATTTAAAGGATTATTTCGAGGTCTATTATACGCAACATTCATACTACTAGCTGATATGATTTGTGAATTTTTTAATATTATACATGCAAAATTTTGAAATTTTATCTACTGGTTGATTTTATATGATTTTTTAAAAATTATGATGCTCACATCCACTAATAGGATATTTAAATTTGATTTTACAGCAAGCAGTAGAGTGTTTAAATATGATGTCATTAAGGTTAAAATTTAAGAAAAGAAAATATGATTTGCACTCGTACAATCGCTATTCTACATTTTATTATTATACATATTTACTAATGTAATTAACTAATAATTACATTCTATATGTATAATATAATTACATTTTAAAAACTCTTGTTACTCGATTGGTAACCTTCTTAAATATAAACACGAGTGCAAAGAAAAATAAAAATTCTGAATTACGATATTATTTCTACTTATTTTTTTATAACCTAATCGGTGCAGAAATAACGTAACGATGAGATCTAAATATCATTTCCGTTATCAGGTTCCACGGTGAGAAGCACTCGAAAAAATTCAACTCCAAATTCATCCCGCCCGAAATTCCGCAACAAAATTAACGACGATTACGAAAACAGCGGCGAAGTGCAAAAATCGAAACCGACTAAGAATCGTAGCAGCACCACCTCAAGGCCAAGTTACAAGTTAGTACCATAATGGAAAATGGGCTTGACGAAATATCAATACGATCGAGAAAAAATCAATAAATTAATATTTTCCGTTTGATCAGAAATCGTAGCCCCCTGACAACGACCACCGAACCGCCACCCATCACTCGTCGCCGTACCGGTTTCCGGCCCAACAATCAACCATCAAATTTGCCCTCGAAGCAAAGCGGCAAAAGCAAGAACGAGCAGCAACCAATTACTTCCAACCCTCTGCCGAAGCCGAAGTTGCCAAGAACGCAGGGCCGTTGGTCGTACAAAACGACGCCCAAGCCGAGAATAGCTATTCGAAAGCAAGTGGATATTGAAGAAGATCAATCGCGCTCGATATCCGAAACTAGCACGACCGAGGCACCGTCAGGCATGGACGATGGCAAGACTACCTCGGCTTCCCCGGCTCCCACGTCCACCACGTCTGCCTCGGTCACGAGCGGCCAAGCGGTCAACGGTCAGAGAAAAATTCAAGAGGCGGCGAATGATGACGAGCTGGACCCGAGCGAGAGCGAGGACGTGGCCAGCGTAAGCGTTCAGGATCAACATTCCGAGCAACAAATTTTACCGATCGAAACGATCAACGTCGAAATCTCGACAGCCGCTGACATGAGCAATGTGTATTTCGAGATTGCCACTATTAAATCGCCCTACACGTTCCAGGTAAGACAACTGTTCGCGAGCGTTTATGACTCGCGAGATTAAACAGACACTTGTTCGAGAAAGTTCTCTGTCCTTTCCGTTCCCATGACCAGTGGCCGCTAATAAACCTAAACAAAGAGTGAATCCTTGTTCTGTTTTTATGTGTTTTGATACAGCACGGTCAGCTTGAGTCGCACCGTTGACTTTGCGTGCGAACACCGTTCTTTGTTTAGGTCTGTTAGGAAGGACACGTGCTTGTTACCATGCGATGTTTTGTGTACAAGTCACAATAAAATTTCCTCGTTCTTGGACCATATTGCGAATCAGACACTGTTATTGGTCATTGGCATGCCCCACTAAGAACTAAGACCCTCCCAATTAGCCAGGAAGAGATTCAAGTTAAGACGTTTACTTTCTAGCTAAGAGTCACTACACATCAAGTTCTCGAACAGATCAAGTCATACGCGATAATTAGAATCGTGCTTCGACCGTCGGACACGATATCATAGATCACGATATCATGTTATAACTTTCGTGGGAAACACTATTCTCTAATAATCAGCACCCAACAATTAACTAGTAATATAATCCATCGTGAAACTACGTTGCTTCGAACGTAAATAACAACGTAAATAACAACTTGCCTTCGCCTCAAATTTCTTTTCGTACGTTCTTTCTCTGTGATAATATTTATTATCGCGCAGGTCGGGACACTGAGGAATACCCGCTACGTAACGGTCACTTCGACGATGAAGAAATCGTTTGCCACGATGGATCCATCCACCGCTATATCACCGACTGAACCTTTGACCGAAAATCTGCTCGCGAATACCGGAGCGGCCTACGAAACGTCGTTGCCATTGGACTCGGCCGTCGCGACTCTTCCCCCCGTGTCTTTGGAAACCGGCCAAGCGACCCCACCTCTAGAAACTCTAACGGAAACGTTTTCCACCACTCAAACCTTGCTCAAAACTCATCTGCTCCCGGTCGTTTCCGGCAATAACACGACCAAAATCACGCTCGTCCAAACGTACAACATAGCTCGAGTGGTCACGGCAACGAAGACATTACCGCCCATGGACATCTACCAGTTCATCCCGAGCAAAGCGTTGAATGAGTTCAACACGAAACTGGACGAGGCTGGTAGCGAGCTTCATCTCGAATTGGACGTCGGCGATGAGGACAGGGACGACGACGATGTTCCCAAAAGAGTGGTGGCTCCTAGCAACGAAATGGACGCAGATCTGGAACCCTTCAAATCCGTATCCTCGTCGAAAGTGAAGTCGATCGAGGCAGCGAGCGCCTCGATCGAATCCCAATTGACTCCCGATCAACTGGCTCTGTTAAAGTATTTCGGTCAACAGCAGCCGCAGGTGATCGCCACGTCGCGACCAATCGTCGTCCTCGACACTCTCTACGAGTCACACGTGATCCCAGTGGTGAATAATGGGAATACGATATACTCGACGTTGTCGAGGCCAGTCGGTACCGTGCCGCGCACGTCTTACGAGTACGGAACGTCCACGATCGCGCCGGTTTTATCTCCCCAATTGCCTCCCCAATTGCCTCCTCAATTGCCCCCCCAATTACCTCTGTTTCCACAGCAACCGCAGTTCACGGTGACCAGCGCCCCCCTGATCACGCAAACCCTCGCCACTCTCTCCGATTCGAAGGTGTTGAAACTCACGTTCGGGGCGAAGACCGCCTACACCACGTTATTCTCGAGCAGAGTGGTACCGACCGAGATCACCACATACGTCACCACTACTGTACCCGTTCAACCGACCGTCGCTCCTTTCCCTGGCTATTATCCACCGCCTGTCGGCTATCCACCTTTCCCATTCGTGGGATAAAGGTGTCACGTTGTTCGCGCTTCGACGTGCGGACGATATATACGAATGAAAAAATACACTAGGGAATGCCTTTTTTTCCGAATGTTATTTTTGTGGAGGGGAGGGGGGGAGAAGGAGAAAAAAAACCGTTTTGGATCGGATAAATCGAAAGATCGTGGAGGTGAGCGAGAAAAAAATAAAACGAATGTTAATGACAACTTTATAATATACGATATACGAATACGTGTACAAATTATAGCCGGGAAACGTATTCGATCGATCAATTTTCAATTAGCCCAGATATTCGCTATCTTGGCGTGTATCTTGTTTAAGATATTTAAAATCTAGGGTTGTTTAGCGTTGATACGCAAGGTACAAGTTATTCAAGATAAGTCTCGAGAAATAGAAGATTTCTCTTCGTGCTAATCGAAATACTCTTTCTGATTTGTAATATATTTTTTTTTAAGATTCGCTTACGTTTATATTCATGCGTTATAATGCGACATGCAACACGTTATTTGCGACAGACGAAGTTCAATTTAGAGTCAAATTTAAAAGATACGATTTTTTTTTTTTTTTCAATAAAAGATAGAATAATAAAATATCTCTTAATAGTGTCATACGTTTGCAAAGACTGATTAATTTTAAAGGAAACTATGTGTGTTTAATATATATTTACGATACAGGTGTTAAATATGTGTGTTGTTCTTATGATTACTCAAAAAAATAAGTATAACAATTTTTCTTCTTAAATCAATCGGATCGTGTTGCATGCCACATTATGATACATGAGCAATTCAATCAAACAAAAAGATTATAAGTTGAAACGACGCTTTATGATCTTAATTATGCGCTATTTCAATATTTGTGTGTATCTATAGATACGTTTATAAATTAAAGTGCATGACTTGATAAGTGAAAAATAAATATTATTGAAATGATTATTTAGAGATATTTAGAATCGATATTTTTCTCATTTTTTTCTTTTTTTATTTTGAGGCGAAACGAAATTTTTTTTCGTTTAATCTAAATTAAATCTGCACACGCACAAATGAACTAAGTATTGTAATTTTGTAAATTAATACTTTTAAAAAATACATTTTATAAAAATTGTAATTAAATCAGAAACAAATCAATTGATATCGTATTACATACATTTATACACAATGTTCATAAAAATTGAATTAATTTCTAGAAGATTAACGTTTTTAGATAATGATACATAAAATTTATCGATAAGTAATATGCAAATATAGAAAACGAATTATAGTTTACAAAAATTATTTTATATGTTTATTTGACATATAAAAATATATTATTAATTGGCCGATAATGAAAACGTTGTATATAAATTAACAATTATAGTGACTACGATATATTAGTATTGTATATTAAAAATTTTGTAAATAAAGTAAATACTTATGTAAAACTAATACATATATATTTTTTGCTTTATCAAAAACTAGAATATATTTAATTAGTAATAGTTTTCCATATGAAATTCTATCTTTATATTTTATATTTATTTAAAAACACTAGTTGATAGAACGTTTATTACATTTAGATGTTGTAAAAATGTGCCAACATTGGTTAACTGAAAAACTTTCTGAAGTAATTTTTCAAGCAATCTTTTTCCTTTACGAAAACTTTGTTTTTCCCTTCTTTGTTAATTGCTTTTCTTCTCTTTGCCACTCTCTCTCTCTTTATCACTCTCCTCTTCCCCTTCCTATTCCTAATGAATATCTTCTATATATTGTAATTATTGTAAATATTATTTCATTTGTTTGAAAAATTATTTATATTCATATATATAACTTTTTATAACCGCGATTATTCATTTCGAATAATTCTCTTCGACACATTGTTTTTGGATTTGTTCGCGTTCGTGGCAAATATTCTTATGTTATATCGTGACAACTTAATCAAAACATTTGATCAATATGGAATCTTTGCAAAGGAAAATATTGCTTGTTGAAATTATCTCGAGAATCTTCAATTATCTAGTTTCCTTGAATTTTTCGTTCTATATATGTAAAAATAAAAATATAAATTGCATTAAAAAAAATATTCTACATAATTTCCATCCATTCGAAATTTTGGACGCAAGTATCTAAGATTTAAAAAAAAATCACTCTCAAATTATATCAAAATATAAAATAAGTTCCATCATTAACAATTTGATAGATAATTGCAAAAATTTCCAATGGAATATCTTTGAATATATTATTCCGCATATTTCTCGGAAAAAGTATTTTAAATTTGTTACATTTCGTCAGTCTATTTTTTTTTTTTTATAGATTTCCATTCACTTGGTGAATATCTTACTTTATCATTAATAAAAACGTTATTATGAGACGTGATGTGTAATGAGAATGAAAATTGCCATTAAATTAATATAAATTAACGTTTAAATGTGATATATTGTTCTTCCTTTTTAATAGCTCGGACCAATGTTAGAGTAAGGGCTGTTATTATTATCTGGAAAATTTAAATGAAATACAACAAATTACAAATTACAATTTATAATTTAATACTCGTCTCATTTATGAATAAATAAAATATGCTTGATGCCTTACATGGAGCATGCACAGAGCCAATGCTAAACCAGCCAGCCAACCCGATCTACCTTCCAAAAACCATGAAATTTCCTCGACGCATCCGTAAAAGAAAGCATTTCCAGTAACGGTGTTCCTACACTCAGTGGGAAGTGGTTTTTTCAAAGTTAAATAATCCATCGGGCCATCGGCACCGCAACAACCGATCTACATCAAAATTAATTTTATATTTATAATTATCTCTAATTACGCCCAAAATTATATGTGTATATAAAAAAATTATTACATCCGTATGAATCATTTCAACATACGAAAAAAAAAAGTAAATAAATATCAATTCGTATCATTTGATTAATTTTCATTAACGTAATAAAATAAGTAAAAAAGAAAATTGAAATTTTCCTTCCTACATTTTCATTATCATTAAATAATATAATACAGCATCTTACGCTTTCTTGAATTAATTGTAGAATGTACGTTGCTTTTGGATCTTGGTAATTATTAATGAGAGATGTCATAGATCGTCGTATAAGAGGTTGAATTTTACTGTCGTAAGTTGAATAATCGAGGAGGATTGCGGTTCCTACCAAGCCGAGGATAAAGGAAAATAATTGCAATCCTGCATACTTGAAAAATAAATACAATTTTTAATGCATCTTTCGTATGAACATGTGGGATACAAGATATTTTTCTCTAGTTTAAAATATGTAATAAAATTATTTCTCAAGAAGTGTGGTATACGATGTTTTTGATAGATATTCAAACTATTTTTTAAACTGATAATAATAATAATACGTATATACATATGTCTTACAATGTAGAGACCAAGAATATGTTCCATAAGAGCAACTCCACAGCCAATGAATGTGATAATTACAATGAATATCGAAGCCGCGAGTAAGATATAAATGCCGATGTAAAATTCATATATCTCGAGGAAATTCACCCACTCTTGGAAATTTGGATCCAATCTTAACCACATGCATAATCCAAACATTGAGCTCCCAAGTAACTAAGAAATATATATAGAATTCAAAAAATTATTTCGAATAATTGGAATAAGTTCTAATATTTTAATATTTTAATCAATAACAATATAATATAATATAATTTCAAAATATTTAATAATAATCAATTTAATTTAATGAAAAAAAAAAACAAGAATAAAAGGAGAATTACGAGGACATAAAAAGAACAATATTTTATCGAATTATTTTATTTCTAACATTTAGTCTTAAGCCATTACACTTTTATATTTGTCACGCTGATAAACACAGATATGATTGTTACAAATCTGACTCATATTGATATAAACATAACGAGGTAGTATTTATATCTCAATATAAAATATTTTAAGTTAAATTGCATTCTTATACTCATTTAGGAATGTAGTAATACTATTAATCAAGTATTAAAAATTATTCGCGAAATAGAATTATTTCATACAAGTGTATACGATATGGCATCATCTAAATAACTGTATATATATATATATATAAACATAAAAAAAAATGCAATTAATAGAACATACAATAAATTTAAACAAAAAATTGTATTGGAATTTAATTTGTATTAAATCTATATTTATTTAAAAAATCGTTTAAAATATTACTAAAAAGCACTTTAATTTTCGATCAGTGTGATTCGTGGTTGGAAAAGATATCTATACATATATATATATATATGTATACGAGATTCAAACTTATTTAATTTTCTTTATTTAATTAACGTTATGTCGAACATTGGATCAATTGGATCAAAAATGATAATAAATAAATCTTTATTTAATAATTAAATATTAATTTTAACATCAGATAACAATATATTCGAAATATATATATATAAATATATATATTTTATACTTACCCATATGATGGCATTCAAGCAAAAAATAATAAATTTTATACACTGAATATATATATATAAATATAAACTAAAAAAAAATGCAATTAATAGAACATACAATAAATTTAAACAAAAAATTGTATTGGATTTAATTTGTATTAAATCTATATTTATTTAAAAAATCGTTTAAAATATTACTAAAAAGCACTTTAATTTTCGATCAGTGTGATTCGTGGTTGGAAAAGATATCTATACATATATATATATATATGTATACGAGATTCAAACTTATTTAATTTTCTTTATTTAATTAACGTTATGTCGAACATTGGATCAATTGGATCAAAAATGATAATAAATAAATCTTTATTTAATAATTAAATATTAATTTTAACATCAGATAACAATATATTCGAAATATATATATATAATATATATATTTTATACTTACCCATATGATGGCATTCAAGCAAAAAATAATAAATTTTATACACTGAATTCGTTGCTCTAATTGAGGTCCAGAAGTTTTGGCAACCATCGCTTAAAAATTTATTTTATCAGCTGGATATTCCAAATTTTACGCTTAAAAATATACGTTTTAATTCTTTTCGCGAAAATCACTGTATAAATTGATATCAAAACGTGAACACTAGTTATGAACGTACATTCTCGACAGTATACACCTTTTGATTCTTTTAGCTAGTATTCTCTTTATCGCTGACAAATATAAGATAACTGGATAAGCGCGTTCTAGATAAAAAGAATCGTTGTAAGTGATTCATTCATTACAAGAAATTATTATTGGAATAACTCGATTTAAAAAAAGATCTAAAGACGATTTATTGAAATTTCGTTTTTTTCTTCCATTCGGAAAAAAATATATATTATTCAAAAATGAATTCGAAAATATATATAAGAAATATAAAATACTATAATTGATAATTGAATATACTGATAATATTGAATATTAAAAAATTATTTATTAATTTATTAATTTATATGTAATTAGTATTATACATATGTATATTATATTATATGTATATGTATATTAATATCTTTAGAGTATTGAAAAAAAGTTTATATTCAACATTAAGTAAATTTTAATATTCATAATAAAAATTAAACATTATTAGATTCGCTGTAAACAATATAATAAAATAATAATTAAAATTTAAATTAATTTTAATTAATTTAGTTTATACAAATTTATAATTTATTCATATTAAAATATATGAATATATCGTATTTTTCTAATATAAATTATAATTATATAAAATTTTGTATAATTATAATTTATATTTTATTAATTATTATTAATTTTATATATATATATATATATATTGATTTACTAGATATTATTGATATACTAGAGATAATAAAATTTTATTTTTTAATGTAGTTCTCAGTAGTAATTGAAATATTAGATGTTACAGATGTTAAATCTAAAATTAGATGTAGGATTCATATCATTAAATACATCATTTTCTTTTAATAATCAGAATGGATAACTTAATTGATGTTCATAATTAAACACATGTTAAAAATGTTAAGTGATTAAATTCAAACAATTATCAGAATACTTACACAATCACAATATAATTGTTTATGCGAAATATAAATATATCTAAATATAAAAATGCATATCATTTTTATAAGATATCTTTTTTTAATTAGTTAGTTAGTTAGTTGTCAATAATATTATATAAAAATTTCGCAATATTTTGTTAATTATTTATATAATTCTATTAAATAAAATCTTTTGTATATAACAAAATTAAAAAAAATAAATTAATTTTTAAAACTAACTTAATAATATAATATTTAAAATAATTAAATTATCTTAGGTATTTATTTTAATTATCTTAATTATTTTATTTTAATTATTTTAATATATAATAATTACAATTCTGGTCAAAATTTCCTTTTTTAAGCTTGTAAATAATTACGTAGACTAGTCATGCGTAATCATACGCGGGTTAATTTGATAACATTCGACACAAGCTGGGCACCAACATCCTACGAGTGTAATACTCTTATAATGCTCGTGATATGGAACAAAGACATTTCAGCATCAGCATCAGAAATGGTTTCTAAAATGAATATACAGTTGAGAAGTGGGGATGTAGCGTCAAGCAAGACATTAAGCTTTGCTGATGTGGAAGTCCGAGTAAGCTAAAACTAAAAAAGAAGCTATCAGTACTTTTAATATTTAAGATTCCAATAATTTTGTTCATTTGCCATTTTTAAATACTCTTTTCATATTCTTGTGCTCACGTGCGTTATGCAAGAATTCATGCTTCTTCAAATTCTGATTGGTTTTTCTTTCTTGGCAACGGCAATTTCGAAGCCGGAAAATGATCACAAGTCGCGAGTTATTAATAAGGTTTGTTTGTAATTTTTATGCTTCAAAATATTTAGATATCTTTACAATAAAAGACTTTTATCTTCAGTTATTTAAAAATAAAAACGATTTCTTTGATAATAATATACAAATTTTATATACATAACCTTATGTTAAAATAATTTTATATATATAATATATACTTTTTTTTATAATATTTCCTTTTTTATATTAAAATTTATTAAGATAAATAACATATATATCGTGAATAAATTTTTAATTCAAATAATTATGCATTTATTTATACACATTTTTTTTCACATTTTTCTAAATAAAATTTATTTTAGGAACCAAACAATGAAGAACATTATGTCAATTCTCAACATAATCCTGCCTATGATCATGAAGTTTTTTTAGGTGAAGAAGCAAAAACTTTTGATCAGCTTACTCCTGAAGAAAGTACAAGAAGATTAGGAATAATAGTTGATAAAATAGATAAAGATAATGATGGCTATGTTACTGGAGAAGAACTTAAAGATTGGATATTATATTCTCAACGGCGTTACATACGGAACAATATTGAACATCAATGGAAATCTCATAATCCTGAAGAAAAAGAGAAACTTCCATGGACAGAATACTTAGCAATGGTTTATGGAGATATGGATGAACAGGAAGCAGAGAATCATGAAAAATCTAAAGATAATACTTTTTCATATGCTGCTATGCTTAAAAAAGATCGCAGACGTTGGACAGCTGCAGATTTAGATGGTGATGATGCTCTTACAAAAGAAGAGTTTGCTGCTTTCCTTCATGTAGAGGAAGCTGATCATACAAAGGATATTGTAGTATTAGAAACCATGGAAGATATTGATAAAGATGGTGATGGCAAAATATCTCTTTCAGAATATATTGGTATTTTTATTTCTCTTTATATAAGTATATATTATATTTATATAAGTATATAGTATTTTTCTATATATAAGTATATTTATTTTATATAAGTATTTATTGGAGATTATTTAAAATCAATCTTTTATTAAATAATTTAATATTTTTTTTTTTATTATAGGTGATGTATATGATGGGGCAGAAGGTGAAGAAGAACCAGAGTGGGTAAAAAATGAAAAAGAGCAATTTTCTATGTATCGTGATAAAGATGGTGATGGTTTCTTAGATTTGGAAGAGGTGATATATATTTTTTTGCATATAAAATGCGATATATTATTATTTATTTATCTATTAAAGTGCAATCAATTTTTATCTAATTAATTATTTTGATTTAGGTTAAAACGTGGATTATTCCAGCTGATTTTGATCATGCAGAGGCAGAATCTCGTCATCTTATATTTGAAGCAGATACAGATGCAGATCAAAAACTTACTAAAGATGAAATATTGAAAAAATACGATATTTTTGTTGGTTCTCAAGCAACTGATTTCGGTGAAGCATTAACCAGACATGATGAATTCTAATATCGTACATAATTTTCAAATAATACTCTTAGAAATAAACAAAATAAGATAATTGAAACATGAAGAACATTTATAAAGCATTTATTAGAGATATTTATCTTTACTAATAGATTAAGAATCAGAAATGGCTAATTTTTACTTACCTCATTGTAAACAAAAAAATCATTACATGAAAATGTAAATATATATTAATCATTGTAATAAATTTCAAATATTTTAAATATTGTCTCTCTTATTAAAATATAATTATTTATTATAATAATAATAATAATATAATTATTAATTTATATTCTAGTATACTATTTCTACATACATGATGCTAATTGTGATTTCCTCTTTATTCTTTATCTAGTTCAATATGATACTATACAATGAATATCTGATAGCTGATACATCACTATGATAATGGCTAATTTTATCAGATAAGCTATATAAATTGTTGAAAATGATATAATAAAATGAAGTGATTAAAGTAAAATACTGAATATATCAAAATGATGAAAATTTATTTTTCTATATTTTTAATTATTTATAAAGGATATGTATTATCAGGTAATGATATTTGAAATATTAAATTTTTGCAATTCTATAAAAGAATTAGAAAAGAATAGTAAAATGACATTTATTATATATTTTGTAGTTAATGGACAAAATTGCTTTGAATATACATGGATAGCTCCAATATTTGCTGAAAATTCTGACAAGTATAATTGTTCATCAATCAAAAATAATCCTTGCATCTCTCCCATAATTTATACAGGTAAAATTATTTTTCATTTTAAACCTAACTTTTATATAAAATAATAATAATAATAATATATTTTTATTTATATTAATAGTACTTATTTCAAATTTATATATATATTTTTAATTAATAACTACTATATATAATAATACTATATATAATAGCATATAATTATTAATATAACAACACACATAATAATTATTAATTTTATTTTAGAAAAACCACCAGATACAAATGAATTGTGGGAAACAAAACAAAGATTATGTTCTATAATATCTGGCAATGTTTGTATAAAATATACTTTTTACTTTAATAACAACAGTGAGTATATTGTAGTTCTATAAAAATTTGTATTAAAAAATACAATACTTTATAAAGATAAAGATAAAAATAATTGCAGTTGTTAATACATCATTGTTTTGTGGAAGAGCAATAGAAGATAATATAATACCTATCACATCAGGATGTTATGAACAACAAGTAAGTAATTTTAAATTTATTATTTTATTATATATAAAATATATATAATTATAAATAATATAATTTGTTTAGAAAAACAATGACACAACTATAAAATTTTTAGATTAATAGTGTCATTAATCTAAGAAATATTTAATTTGTAATATAAAATTTAATTTAATATAATAATTACATATATAATTATTAGTTTTATTTTTTTTTCAGCAATTTAATAATATTGTAATAATATTTAAACATATTCTTTTACAATTAATGCAATTGAAAAATAATTATGTTTTATTTTTAATATCATTATCTTTTTTAATTTTTCATGGTAAATGTAATAAAATGATATTAGTTTTTTTTAAGAATAATATTTTTAAAGTTGTGTAATTGTTACTTTAGATTATCTCAATGATATAATAACTTTTGTCTAAATTTATTTTATTTTATATAAAACTTTTATATACTAATATTTTTGTAGATTAATGGTTACGTACTTGAAATGTGTGCTTGTGAAGCTAGACAAGGAAAACCTTGTAACACATCAGTAACAATAAAATATTCTATTATTTTAATAAATACAATGTTATTACTTATATTTATAAGATTATTATAAAATATTTATAAGGTTAATTTAATTTTTATAATTATAATATATATTTAATTATTATAATATATATTTATATATTATATATTATAAATTTTTATTATAATAATTTATAAATATACATTATAATAAATATCATTATATTTAAATATTTTAATATCATATTCTTTATAAGTATTTGTAATAAAATGGAAGATACATGAATAAAATTTTATAATTTATCAACAATTTGAATTTTTCTGCACAAAGATAATTATTTTTTCTTGTCAGTTTTCGATTATAGTAGTCAATATTTCAAATTTATTAGAATCAAAAACATCTAAGATAACATAAATTTTATAGAACAAATATAGACAAGAAAAAAATAAAAATTAATTAATTTATGATTTCGCTATATTGTAGCTTGTATTATATAGAATATTAAATTCAAAACTATACCTGTCTTAATCTTTAATGTAAAATATATATATATATATATTACATTCTCAACTTTATTATATATCTCTGAAATGACAACTGCTAAACATAATATATGATGTGAGATATAGCAATAGATTTAAATTTTATAACAAAATATTTATTCTATTTCTTATTCGTAATTTTATATTGAAATTTAGTTTCAATTCCAATTATTATTAATTTTATTTTAAATCAAATTGGTAACAATTGAGAATAATACGAAAATAGTAAAGAAAGAGTTCTATTTTATATCTCTTATATATATATATATCTCAAGGCAAGGAAAAAAATGCATTGAATGTTGGGTCTATATTATACTTTGTCTATGTATAAAGTCAATAAATATCAAATAATAAGATTATATAGTTATTTATAACTTTATCATCAATTGCAAATTAAAAAATAATATTGATAACTTGTATTTTAACAATAAATGTTATGATTGTATTATTTCTTAATAAAACTATGTAGTAAAATAACAGTAAAAATAACTAAAGTATTAAAATTATAAAATTATTATATAATTATGAATTTAATTATTTTCAGCAAAATAAATAACAAAATATAATATAAAGAAAGTAAAAGTTTCTTAATGAAAATTATTTTCAGATTCTATATATCGAAGCCATAACGATTCAGTAATTGAACATATCCGTTTATCTAGGAACTTTTCATAACAATATTATATACATGGTTGTATGTATACAGAAAGAAAACTATTTATATGATCCGTTTATGAATCTGCTGGTAGTGCGGACCACGAAATACAGTGACTGATTTTGTATTAACCGCATGGTATATACTTTAAAATTGTATATGTCACTTGCATATAATATTTTGTTTGCAATATGTTAAGAAACCATTTATTTTGAGTATAATGTAAATGGATATACTTGCCAACAAATGTAAGCATTATATCGTTATATTTTAACATGATTTTACGAAATAAAAACTTTTGCTTTAGGTTATTGAATTATTTAAAATCATTTCATTTGATTATTAATAATTTAAATTAAATTTTTTTTGTTTCCTTCTAGATATTTTCGTCTTATGTATATTTCTTCCTTTGTATGCAATGTACAAACGATTTTAAGTTATTCATTTTTATCTTTTTTTTTTTTTAAGAAAAATAAAATTCAATTTATCACATATAATTCCTTTTTTGACAAAATAAAGAAAGTTTATGCTTAACAAAATAATTTTGCTATAATATTTTATCTTTTTTTTACTATTTATCTGTATATATTTCAAATAATGTTTTCTTTTTTTTTTTAAAGAAACATCACAATATGGCAGAACAACAACAGTCATCTTCTGGCTTTAAACGTATGTCTTTAGATAAAATCATAGAAGCTATGACTTCAGACTTAGAAAGTTCTAATGGTCATTACGTTCAATTTGGTGTAAATCCACAACAAACTACATCTCATAATTGGGGAAATTATTCTTCAAATCAAACAAGACATTATATTACTAGTCAATCTCCTCATTCTAATTTACCCACAATGCAATCCATGTCTCCAATGGGTGCTCCTCTTTATATGCAAGATATATCTAATTATGATTCTCCAACAGATTCAATCTATTTTCCATCCCAAACAGGAGTAAATCATTTAGGTATAAATGAAAATAATGATTTAATTGGTACTATAGATGTTGGAGGAGGCAATTATATTAATGTGATTTATGGAAATGCTTCACAAATTATGGCAGAACAATGTCAACTATCAAATATATCTTATAGAAATCAAAATATGATTGATCGAGAATATGGTCTTTTTAATGATCAACATATGAATATACCACCTGAATTACCAACTCAAAATTTTAATGGAAAACAATTAATTGAAAATTTAGTTGGTAATTGGGTACCAAATCAATCTGGAACATATAGTCCTTTTGGTGGATCTTCAAATGTAACTTCAGTAGTACAATCAAATGTAGATATTAGAGATCCTGAAGAATTACCTAGAAATTCAACTGATTCTCAACACAAAAAACCTCGTGCTGTAGCAGAAGTAAAACCTATGCGGCCTTCTTATTCTGATGTTCTAACAAAATCTGCTCCAACACCTCCATCACCTTTAACAATTCAATCTATAAAACCTAAAACAGAATCTGTAAATAAAAAAATCTCTAATAAAAATTCAAAGAATAAATCTAAATCTACAACATTAAAGAGACAAAATTCATCTGGAAGTGATGATCATAATTCTCCAAAAATGCAAATACCACGAAAAATTCTAGAAAAAAATAATTCGAATCTTCCAAGACGTTGGGTATCATTAGATAATCTTGGTTCAACAACTGAAACTCATGAAATAAATACTTTTGATAGATCAAATCAATTTGAAAAAAAAAAAGTTTCTAAAATGTCTAAAAAAATAGAAAAAGGAGAAACACTTAATAATTCAAAAATTCAAAATAATAATCCCAAATCTACTGGAAATATTCTTAAACGTCCTATTCAAATAAATAATAATTTAAACATAATAAATGCTTCCAGTCAAACTATTTCTCCTGAAAAAATAGAAAAAAATCAACAAATTGTAAATAAAATGAATAAAGAAGAAAAAAAAGCAACCAAAGAAAAAAACTCAAAACGTTTTCAGACTGAAAAAACACAACAAATCAAAAAAGCTCAAAGAAATCGAAGAAGAGAAAATAAAGAATCACCAGTCAAAGATTTGTATAAAAATCTAAATAAATATGCCAGTCATTGGATTAAAATTGGTTTAAAAATATTTCATTGGTTGCTACATTTAGTATCTGATGTAGTTAGTATGAGCGCTAATCTTATGATTTTACTGTAAGTAATAAAAAATATTATATTTTATATTTATATTTCTGTATTTACTATTTTAATATATTTTATATAATTTGAGTAATCAGATCATATATATTTACATTATAGTGCAAAATGTGGATGGTATCACACTATATTATATTTAAAATACTCATGGGTTTATATGGCTATAACATTTTCAAAAATTCGTATTTTAAATATTGTTGGTAAGCAATTGGATAACTGGTTTGGTAATAGTAAATTTGCATTTTGGCGTAAAATAAAAACTAAAAATGAAGAAAAAGAAGAAAATAGTAATTGGATACATGGCGGTCTTGAAGCCAATATTGCATTACCTAGTACAGGTGAAGAAGCTATGAAAAGATTATTAGCGTGTAAAGGAAAAGATCCTTATAGTATACTTGGTGTTACACCAACATGTTCAGATGATGATATTAAAAAGTATTATAAAAGGCAGGCTTTTTTGGTTCATCCAGATAAAAATAATCAGCCTGGTGCAGAAGAAGCATTCAAAATACTTGTACATGCATTTGACATAATTGGTGAACCGGTATTGTATATTTTTATATATATATATATATACATATATATGTTTACTATATATACTTCTGAAAAATTGATATTTTCATAATATTCATAATTCATTTTTATTATTTTCATTATAATTTTGTTGTATTTTTAATATTTTTTAGGAACGCAGACAAGCATTTGATCAAACTAGACAAGTTGAAGCAGCTTGGGGTGTATTAAGTGATTTACTTTCTCAACTTCATAGAAAGATGGAACAGGCAGCAAATACAATTAGATGTACAAATTGTGGTTTGAGGCATAAAAGAATTCCAACACAACGTCCTTGTTATGCAGCACGATTTTGTGCTCAATGTAAAATACGTCATAGTGCAAAAGAAGTAATTATCAAAAAAATATATATATATAGAAACAATATATTGAATAATTTTGTAAATTATTTTATATAAATTAACTTAGGGAGATATCTGGGCAGAGTCTCGTTTAATGGGTTTTCTTTGGCATTATTATGCCTGTATGGAAGGAGCAGTATATGATGTTACTGATTGGGCAGCTTGTCAAGCTGGTAATTTAAAACACCTAAGAGCAAATACACATAGTGTTCAGTATAGAATTGTCTTAGGTCAACGACCACCGTCACAAACGCCCAATAATAGTAAAAGGCGTCAACAAATAGATCCGAATACCAGGTACTAAAATTTTATTAAATTCATAAATATTTTATGATTTTTAATAATATATAATAAATAATTATTCACATTAAATAGTGAAGCAGACTTTGAAGACTTTTTTAAATAATTTATACAATCACAGCAAAACCGGAAATTCAAGTTCACCAGATCAAAGTTCTTTTAGAGGAGACTGTAAGCGACGTAAAACTAAACGCAAGAAGTAAAAAATATGGCAAGTTACTTCCTAATCTTTTAGCATTCGTCATGTATAATTATACAGTAATATATATAGTACCATAATGAATTCTTATATTCTTTCCTTCATATAAATATAAATAATATTCATTAACTCTAGCACAACATTGAAATCATATTAGAATGAACTTAAAAAAAGAATATTTACATAATTTTTGTTACCAAAAATATTTTTTTATTATTGCAATGAAAATTTATTTCTAACAAATGTATATATTTATACAAAAATGCAATTGCAAATTACAATTTATTTAATAACTAGATAACATTTGTTTAATGTTAGAAAAATTGTTTAAAACAAATATTTTAATTATTAATTTATATATGAAATCAACTTATACTATCTTAAGATTAATAAAATATACATATTTAATGTATGTTAAAATATAAAAAATTGCAATCCTACTAAAATGTTAAAATGTATTATGAATTAAAATTTCAAAAGTAAGGATTAATTTTTAATCCATATGAAATAATAACCCTATATACAAATCATTTTCACAATCATTATATTTATAAATATAGAATTTATCAATTGTAGATTATATTAAGAAAAACAAAAATATATAAAAAATAATAATTTCAATTCTTATGAAAATATAAATAATCTTTCAATTCAACTGAAATATAATACTCAAATATTATATTAATGTTATACCATTTTAATATAGTATGCAAAATATAGTTACAGTAAGTTATTTCAATAATTTTTGAAAATTTAAAGAAACTAAAAGCAATGAAAAGAATTCAAAATCTTTTTTAAATTGCTTTGAATGTTTATTTCAGTAAACTATTATTAAGCTAATATTTATAAAATGACATAACCATGTAATATAAATATTAAACAATTTTTTTTATTATAAATTTAACAAATTTTATGTTTTAAGTTTTTTGTTTTTTATAATTAAATACACATGATTAATGTAATAAAATATTTTATAGAAGTCAAAAATTTACATTATTTCATTTATAATGAAAAATGTATTTGTTTAATGAAATATTTATGATAAAAATTGCAAAGTTTTTATCATAATTTTTTTCAATTTTAAACTTTAAACTTTACATATAAAAAGTTATTTATAATTTTTGAATACTAAACATTTTTTTGTTTTATTTTTATTATTAATGAAATAAATATTTAAAGAATTTTTTTTAAATAATATAAAAAAAGATTCAAGGATAAAAATACAATTAGGTGACAGAGATATATTAATATAAATTAAAATTAAATATGTTTTTATTAAGAATATTTTTTTAAATTTTTGGAAAGATTTGGAAAGATTTGGAAAGATTTTACTTCTAAAATCATTATTTGAATTGCTTGATACAATTTTTTATAAATATTAATTTTTATTATTTTTATTATTTTTATTATTATTATTCTGAAAAAAAATATATTTTTATCATTTTTTAATTGCTAGAAAAATTAGTAGAAGATATTCTGAAAAAAATTAGTATTAATTATAAATTATATAAATTAGTATAAGTTAATATATTAATGTACATTCTGATCACTTGATTTCAAAATATTTTAAATAATATAATTTAATCATAAACTAGCTAAAAATATATGATTGAATTTATAAATTCAATATAAAAAAATATGCTATCTTATTATTAAATGTAGTAACAATAAAATTTTACTAGTAGTATATATGTAGTACATATTTAAAATATTATTATATGTATGAAAAATTAGCAAACTGATAAAAAATACTATAAATATTATAAATGAAAAAATACTATAAATGATCATTGATTTTATCTGATAAAATTGAAACAAGGATTATTTCGTTTGATTCATGATAAATTATCTCATTTAATTTCATAATAAATGTTTTTATAAATATATAAATGTTTATTCCAAGATAAAATCCAGAAATATTTTTAAAATAAAATAATATAATTTGTTGCTTATTTTAATTTTTTTAATTTTTATTTAATTTATTTACTAAATTTTATATTAAAACTATATGTGTACTAGTAGATATTAAATGAAATATTTTGTAATTTGTAATATTTTATTTTGAAATATTTAATAAAAATTTGTTATTTGTAATAAAATTTTAATAATCATATTTTTTACATTTTTTAATTTATGATTTTTAACTTAAAAAATTTTTAAACAAAATTACGGATAGAAATGTTCATAATAACACATTTAACCAATATGAAAATTCATATAATTTTTATTAAACATTATGATAAGTATTTTAAAAAATATATATATTTTTTTTTATTGTTATATATATATATATGTATAACAATTTTTTATTATAAAGTATTAATTAGATAATTTAATTAATTAAACGAATTAATTAAAATATTTTGAAAAATCAGAATTGACAATTTAAACTATTATTGAATTCTTTTTGTAACATAATAACTTATAAATAAATGCAATGTTATTATTTTCAATAAGAATGAAAAAGTTTAAATATTTTCCTTTAATAATTCTATTTTTAAGTTATTGTAAAATAAAAACTAAATAATTGACATGTATGAAATAAGACTGATTTTTCCTTTCTATGTTATTTATAAGTATTAGATAAAAAATTTTTAAATATTCTTTTCCACATAAAGAATATTTTTTAATACTTTATATAAGATAATACTTTAAATAATTTGATTTTTGTAATATACAAATTACAACAATTAAAAATGAATAATGAAAAATGAAAATTAAAAATAATTGCAATGTACAAATTTTATCCTTTATAGAAGATACATTACAGATAACCTAGAAATATTTAATAAAATAATGTGGAAAATATTTTAAAAATATAAATATATATATTAATAAAATATATATTATATATATTCATATGTATAATATTATAAATCTTATTTGAATATTTGTATAATAATAAAATTATGCAATTCTTTGTACATGCAGATGAAATTATATAATTGTATTAAATGAGTTTTACAATAAAATTGATGTTAAAATATATCTTAAATGGATGTTAACATTTTAGTATAAATATATAAAAAAACATTTGTTATGTGAAATATAAATATGTTTAATTAATTAAATATTAAACTTAATAAATTTAATAAAATTTTAATTTATGTATATAAAAAACATATGAATTTTATTATACTCATAATTATATCCTTAATTTCTATAAATTATAAAATATAATATATTTATTTTTCATTTTTTAATAGTAAGCTAAACTGTTTTATATTCCTTTATGTTAAATATGGAAAATTTAAAATATATTTACACATAAATAAAATATATATATATATATAATTCTTTTTCAATGCAATATTATAATATTATTATATTAAAAAAAATAAAAAGATAATATTATTATAATATTATTATTATATTAAAACATAAAAAAGTTAAACATCTCATTAAATTTTAATCTAACATTCCTTCTAAAAATACAAGTGCATCAATATTATTAATTGCACTTTCTACATCTCTCTTTTGTATTGTCTTTTTTTTCATTTGTGCTGTATATTTATATGATTCTTTAGCAAGAGAATCAATAAAAAGTTCCTGTAATATAAAATAAAATTTAATAATTGAGATATAAAACATTTATTATAAAAATTAGTTCATTTAGTAAATATCAAAATAGACTATATACTACATATTACAATTTCCATAATATTATATATTATATATTAATATATATGATATAATATAATATAATTTGTTTAACTGTTTATAAAAATAAAAAATATAAATTAAATATAAATTGGAAAATAATTTTATTATATTTATAATTTAAAAGATGTTAAAAGATTTTTAAACATTGTTAAAAGATGATTAATTATTTTAATATTTTGCAATTACTTTAAGATAAAAACAATATTATATTAATATTCCGTAAATAAATAAATATAATTACCGTAGATTTTGTAATTAAAAAAACAGCCTCTTGGTTAACCATATGTACTTCAGGATCCATTTTTATTATTGTTTTTATTCTACCTAATGGTAATTTTACTAATTTTTCCTTTTGTTCCTCATCAATACGAGCATTATTTTCAATTTCTTCTTGAGAATTTTCTTTTCCTGTACTACTTTCATTTAATTCTTTGTCACTTACACTTCCTTCCTCTTCAAAATGTGCCATGTTTATACATATTGATTTCATTTTAAAATTTCAACAGTTACAAAATTAGTGATAATTTTGAATTTAATGATAAAATTTTAATAATATAATTCGATTATTTAATAACGCATACTAAAAATCATTTTGTTAGAGGAACAAATGTTTTTAATTTATTAATATTTAAAATTATATTATTTATACTTTATTTATATCTTTAAATTCCAATACTATTTAAAATAATATTATATGTATAAAAATGTAATACTTAAATTTCTAAATTCTTATAAGTTATTATAAAGTATTATTTTATATTAATTTATATTCTTATAAAATTAAATATGATTAATTTAAATTAATATAATTAACATTAAATAATATTTGAAAGTTATAAATTTCAACGATAAGAATTTGAATAATTAATCTTATTTTTCTTTTAGGTTATCATTATATATTCATAATATATAATATATAATATATAATGATTCCAGAATTTTTAATTTTTAATTATATCAAAAACAAAAAATTAAATGTTCACATAATTTTATATTATATTTAATTTTATATTGTATTTAACATTTGGCGGGTTATATTAATCTAGTGATAACATGATATTCTAGTGGCAGAATATGAAATTTTCAATAATATACTTTGACATGGTTTTAAAGAGAAAAGAATATTTTTTTCTTTACAATTTTATTTTAATGAATTTAATCATAATATATAACATAAAGAAGAAATTTAAAAATCTATTCCGTTAAAGAATTATGTACTATGCTATAACTATCAGAAGATATAGTTACCAATCTAAAACATTTTAATACAACGGTAGATGTCTTTTCAATTTCCACATGGACATTGGGCTTTTATTTACGACTGATAATTTGACAGTCGTTTCAAAATTTATGAAAACCTCTTGAAATATGGAAGAGAAATCTTGCAAAGAACAATTAACAGAAAATACAGGTTCACAAATATAAATTAAAATTCAAAAGAATGAACATATAACTTATCATATTTGTTTTATTACAGATGTCAATCAAGATGAGTTGATTCTTCAACAACAAAGGCGAATCGAAATGGAGGTTAATATATATTATCATTACTGTATAAATTTATTCTTTTTCACTTGATTATCAAATAATACTTAAATTGAAAAATTATATATCTTTGTTTACGAGGTTTCAATACTTGTCATTAATTTCCGTTCTTATTTTTTGTTTTTTTGATCTAAATCATTTATTTATTTGATTATCTTATTATATTCTAGATTATATGTAATTAAAATATAATTATAATTCAAATATAAATATTGTAATTTAATATTTGATCTTTATTTCTTTATTTTATATTTATAAATAAAATTATGAAATTATTTTCCAGATTTCTGAATCTATTGCTTTAGTTGGAGAAAAAGAATCTATAAAAAGTTTGGAACGTGAATATTCTGAAGATGAAGTATATTTATCAAAAGCTAAAGCATTAGGTCAAAAATATTCATATATTAGGAGAACTAGACCTGATGGAAATTGCTTTTTTAGAGCTTTTAGTTATGCATATCTTGAAAAGTTAATTGGAATAAAGATGAATATGAAAAATTTCGAGAACTTGCATTAAAAAGTAAAGATAATTTGGTAGCATTAGGTTTTCCTCAATTTACAGTTGAAGATTTTCATGATACGGTAAATATGTATTGTTATAAATTATAATAATAAGTTTATGATTTGTTTTTTTATTTCTTTAAATTTACAGAAATAAATGTTTCATTTTTTGTATTATAGTTTATGGATGTAATTGATAAAGTAGGAGAAGATGCAGAATCAAGTTATATTGAATTACATAAACTTTTCAATGAACAAGGTTGTTCTGATTATGTTGTTGTATATCTTAGATTAATTACTTCTGGTCAATTACGACGAGAAGCTGATTTTTATCAGCATTTTATTGAAGGGGAACGTACTGTTTCAGAATTTTGTCGTCAAGTAAGTATTATTATATTGTTATTTATGATAAAGAAAAAAATGTATATAAAATATTATGATTATTAAAATTTTCCAGAAAATTTTAATATCTCTTACTTTTTGATTAATATTGACTAAATTATTTTTATAGGAAGTAGAACCAATGTACAAAGAATCTGATCACATTCACATCATAGCTATGAGTACTGCTTTAGGAACTGGAGTACGTGTTCGTTATATGGATCGAGGTGCAGGAACTGAAGTAACAGCACATGATTTCCCTGAAGGTGCTACTCCTGCTGTTCATTTATTATATCGTCCTGGTCATTATGATATTCTATATCCTTGATAAATGATACATTAAATTTACATACAATTTTTTAAAAAAATCTCATGACAAAGATCAATTATTTAGCAAATTATATCTTATGTATGTAATTAAATTTCATAAAATTTTTGGAAGTTTGGTTAAATATACGTTATAATTGTAAGTAATTAATTTAAGTATTATAGAATATTCAATAAAATTATGAAATTTTATGTAAAAATAATTGTTATTTTTAAATAATAAATTCTAATTGATCTTTATAATTTATAAGTTTATTATAAGTTTATTAAATGCATTAAATAAATAACAAAATTTAACATTTTTGTATATATTATTGTATCAATATAAATTATTATATTAATAAATCTTGAATATTTATATTTTAATTTGAAATATAATATATAATATATATATAAAATTTTTACTATACATATTACAAGAATGATATATTTTTATTATAATAATTATGAAATATAATATAATATATAATAATTAATAAAATTTTATTACAAATTAAAGATAAATGTTAAGTAAACAATATTTTACAATACTATACAAATATTCATAAAATTGAACTCTATTATATAAATTATATAATAATCTTATTTATATATTTAAGAAACAATAATTATAAAATATATATACAATTATATAAGCTGAATTTCAATAGATTAATTTGTTTCATTAGTACTAATAATACAATATTATATATAATTAAAATATATTTATAATATAATAGTAATATATTAATAATATTAGTAATAATAATAATATAATATAAAAATACAAAATATATCATTAAGTATATATTATAAATAAAATTATGGTAAATATTTATCTTTTATAATTTATCTTTGCATAGCACGTACTTGTTCAGTAACTTCTTCTAAAGTCATAAAACTTCTGTTAATAGATTCTATTTGATATTCTAAATGAGTAGTTATAAGAGCAATTTTTTTTAGATTAGCTTCTGCAATCTCTACACCATGTTCTTGCTGTGCAAAATTTTTTGCACTATGCATTATTATCTAGAAAAATATTTTAATTATAAAGAAAAATAATATTTATATAATTATATATTTAAATAATAGAATAATAGAATTATTAAAAAATTATATAATGAAATTTTACTTCGCTACTTTTTGAACCTCTTTGTATTTGTCTGGCAAGAGATGCAATATTGTTCACATTAACTTGTACTCTATCAGCTAATCTCATTTTTGATTCAACAAATAAACTTCGAGCACTTGTACTTGAAGCTGAAGCCATAGTGTATAAGTATTTATTAATTTTTAAAATTAATAAATAATTTTAATTATTATAATTAATTTAAGTTCATATCTTCATTTTGACAACTATTACCACATGTATTAAATTTGTGTAAATATTATAATTTTTTACTATCTGTAATCATTAATTATAGATTTAATAATAAAAATAATATTTAAAAATTAATAATATATTGGAATCTTATTTATTAAAATTCTTTTTTAATAAAAAATTGCATGTAAACAAATAAATTATATTACACATACAACAAATAAATATGACATTTAAGATACAATAATCAAAATAATGATAAAATCAGCTGATAAATATTACCACAAACTAGATATAGAATAGGCTTATTATCCAATATTACAGACACTGACTAATTTGGATTAATTTGGATTCGTTATTTTATTGTTCGAAATTATTGCATTATGTTTATATTTAATCTTGAATCTTGCGAATAAACTTATACGCAGGAAGATATCTTTTTATTTCATAGTTTCAATTTTATTAATTGAATCGACTGAATTTCCCTAGATTGATTATTTTGTTTTGTTTATTTTCAATAACTCGACTTGACAAATATAGTATATTAAATATAGTATATAAATCTAATTTAAACTATATTACATATAATATATATATAATAAAAATTTTGTAGAAGTTAACCTATAAATTACGTATATTTTGAATATTATTTAATGACTTTAAAATTTATAAAAATAACACGAAACGAAGAAAAACACTTTTGAAAAAAAAAAATAAATACTTATACTATTATAATTTTCGATATATATAATATATATGTATATATATATGTATATATGAGCATTTATTATTGAAATATAAATTTCAGAAATGAGTATTGATGATGTCAATTTAATTGTACAACAAATTAAAGAAGCAAATAAACTTTGCAAAGAAGATACACAAGTAATGTATTTATAATAGATGTTGCAATATATAAAAATTTTTAAAATTAATATGTTAATAATCTTAAATCATTAATATGTTATATTAGGTTAAAGTAATTATACAATTTTTTTATTATAGCATTTAAAAGGATTAAATGTAGAATTAAAAAATCCTGTGTTACCACAACATGAAATTGAAACTAGAGCAGGATCTCGTCCTCCAAAAAAATGAAGAAATAGAAAGATTTAAACAAATAACATTTATCAAAAAAGGATGTTATGATTCAGTAGAAGATAAAATAATTACTAATAATTGGAAAGAATTTTGTAAGGTTTGTTCAACAAATATTATATGTTTATAATGTTTTCAATAAAATTTATTAAAAAATTTTTATTATGATAAAATTAAAAATATTGTTACACAGTTGCATAAATGGGATTCTAAAAAAGTTGAACCATTTTTACTCTTAAGAGAAGGAAATAAAACATATATTCGCAGTAAAAAACAAAGAAGAAAATTTGTACAATTTTTAGCTGATGGCTTGCCAAATAGAACTTTATATAGTGTATATCATAGATTTAGAAATTTATATACAAATAATTTTCAAAGAAGGTAATGTAGAAAACATTTTTGTATTAAATAATGATATACATTTTTATTTTTATTATATAACAAATCTTATTTTTATATTACGTAATTTATTTAATATTTATTAATATTGTATAATATTTTATTAAATATTATATAAAAAAGAAATTCATATTTTTTATATCAAAAATAAAAATACTTATAATAAAATATTTTTTTTATATATTGAATGCTTTTTATTTGATTAAAAATAATATAATTCAGATTTTACAAAATTTATTTTATACATTTAATAATATAATGCTTATTTATTTTGTATATTATTATTATTATTATTATATATTATATTAATATTATGTTTAATATATAAAGGTTTCATCCAGAAGAGGATAAAATGATTTTGAATTATTTAGAACATAATGCAAACCTTGATCAGAAGCGAAAATATGCAGATTTAGCAAAAGTTTTAAAACGAACCCGAGCTTCTATTTGGCGTCGTTATGAATTGCTTAAAAAGAAAAGACAAAGAGAATCAGATCAAGAGAAATAAAATAAAATCTTTATAATATTTATTTCAATTTTGTATGTTAATTATTGTTTTAATGCTTGTTATTTAGTACTTCATTTCAAAAAATATAATATTATTTATAACTAAATTGATTTAAATTATGATTGTATTAATTATGTAATAAATAAATAAGAAAGTAATTTTTTATTAATTTTATACTATTATTGAATTTCTTACATAAATAAATAATTAAACAAAGTTCAGCATTTATTTATTATATATTTATATATATTTGATTCAATATTTATTGAAATAATTAATTTGAATATTGAATATAAAAAATTTAATATTTTTTATATTAACACAAGGTAAAAAAAATAAAATTTTAAATAATAAAAAGAATTTTTTAAATTTCTATTATTATTATCTATTTTAATGGCACAATATATTATTATTTATATACTTTAAATACGATTACGTATTATCAAATATATAAAATAAATTTTATAAAGATATAAAGATATAATATTTTGTAATAATTATCATATAATATACAATTAATATTAAATGAATTGTTGTATGATTCAAATGAACGAATATATGTATAAATTTAATAATCTATATATAATATATATTTAAATAATATATAATATATATTAATTGTTTGTGTGTAATAATAATAAAGATATTAATAAATTTATCTTTAGAATATTCTATATTATTAAAAATTAATATGCATTGCAATTATGATATAATATTTTCTGAATTAAATAGAAATAATTTATGTAGAAATAAAATGTAAATAATTTATATTGGACAATTTTTAATAAAATTTTTACTTTCGTAAATATTGGCTATCAATTTATACAATTTTTTTTATGTTTTACATTTTCATGAAATTCAAAGTAAAATGTGCGATTAATTTACTAATGCATACTTATTTTTTTAATATATGATTGTTAAATGTATTTTTTCATATAATGGAATAAAATAAATAATAAAATATTTTAAGTAATTGTATAATATATACATGAGTACAAAAAATTTTTAATTTTTTATACAAAATTATAATACTGCCAATATTAATATAATAAATTTCTTACTTCAATTTAAAAAAAAAACGAAAAATTGTAAGTGATATATAAAATATATAAATTTTTTACTTTTATTCAATTTTTTGCATATAAAAAAATTATTTAAATAATTACATATTTAGTTTATATATAGTGTTCCAAAATCATGATAGAAAATAAAAAAATTTTTGCTGAATTTATTTAAAGAATTTAAAAAATTATTACACAAAAATTTAAAAAATTAAGATTTAAACATAATAATTATAATTCATTGATGTTGTAACATTGATATTAGACATATATAAATATTTATAAAATAGATTAAAACTATTGAAATTATCTTTAATGCTAAAATATATTTTATTTATGTATATATATATGAATATATATTTAATTATTGAAATTTGAATAGATCTTGCCAAAAGTTTTTTATATGCTTGCTATAGGCCAAAATTTTTAATATTTTTTTTTTAAATTTATCAATTGTTATTTTTATATTAATAATTAATTTATATTAAAAATTATTTGAAACTCATTATTTTCTTTTAATATAAGAAATTCATCTATCTTTATCTTTAATATGATTTTGGGACACTCTAAATAAATAATGTATTTATTAATATATTTAAATTGTACAATTATATCTTTATAATTATGAATATTAGGTTAAACTTAAAAAAAAAATCATATATAATTAAAAGATATTCACAATAATCATTATTTAAATGAAGAAATAAATTTTGCAATAAAACATTAATCTGCAGAGTTTCTAAATATATGAATATCTAAATAAATTTTCTTTAGTAAAAAAAGCTGTTTATATATTTACATAAGTGCACGATTTCTACAATAATTTTGTATACATATTTTATATATATTATAAATCATAGCACATTTCAATGTATTTATATATATATATTAATTTATATATATATAATTTATTATAATGCACAAGCAAAACCATTGTTTTTTTGATATAATGAAACTTATTTATTAAAACATTTGTCCTATCACAGCAAGTGATCGTACTGCGGATTGCACATTATTTACATGAATATGGTGAGCAACTGTATGATGATGTTCATCTACAACCATCTCTCCATATTGAGCTCGACAACGTTTCTGATGTGCAAACAAACTACCACTATGGCTATAAGCAGCTCCACAAGTTTTACACACATATGGTTTTTCACCAGAATGAGTATAAGTATGTTCTTTTAAAGTACTTAGTCTTTTGAATGCTTTGCCACATGTTTTACACAAATAATTTGCTTCTCCAGTATGTCGAGTCAAGTGTCGTCTAAAAGCTGAACTCACAGCAAATGCAGCACTGCATACATGACAAACAAATGGTTTATCACCTGTATGAATTCTAATATGATTTGCTAAACTGGTTGTTGTAGTAAATCCACTATTACAAGTTTTACACACATGTGGTTTAATACCAGTATGAGTTCTCATATGATACGTTAAAGAAGAATTACTTGGATACACCTTACTACAAATGTGACACAAATATTCTCTTGGAACCTTCTCTTTTGGTTTATGTGTCCTTTGATGAAGAACAAGACGAGCTTGACTAGCACATACCTTTCCACAGATTTCACAAGTAACTGGTTCAGCTTTTGGTTTATGCATTGATACATGACGTCTAAGACCTTTTTTTGTTGCCATAATTTTATCACAATGTTGACATTTATATTCACCAGAATCATCTTCATCACTTTCTTCTTTTTTAACATTTTCATTTTCTTGTAAAGTATTTTGAGTAGTACTTGGGAAAGAATCATCATCAGAATCAAAAAATTTATTATCATCTACTAAATTATCTAATAATCCATGACCATGTTTTTCTGCATGTTTTTTTAATGTATCGGGCCTAAAAAACCATTTTTTACATACAGTACAGGAATATTTTTTATCTCCATGTACAAGACTATGCCTTTTCAGATTTTTTTAATGAAGAACAATATTGGCTACAAATTTCACATTTGTACAACTCAGGTGCATTTTCAAAATCATAAACTTCATTTACAGTACCATTTTCATCATCTGTATCATCTTCAAATTTCATTTCTTTTTTTGGTTCCTTGTTGTCTTTTTGTTCATCTGTACTAATTTGTTTAATCATATTATTTACTTTTTCTGTATGAGATTTTAGGTGACGTACAAGACTTTGAGGTTTAGAAAAGCATGCATGACATAATTGACATGCAAGTGGTTTTGATGCATGTATTTTTTTATGATTTTCCATATTCTCCAATCTATAAAACATTTTTGAACAAATATTGCATTTATGTTTCTTTTCATGAACAAGGGAATGTTTTTTTAAACCTCTTTGTGTGCTATAACATTTTGCACATACTTTACATTTAAATTTTAATTCTCCAGAATCTTCACCATCATTACTTGAGTCATAATAATTATCATGAATTTCATCTTCACTATAAGTTTTATTAGGCACTGATTTTACTTTTCTAGTAGAAGTACGTTTCTGCACAACTTCTTCTTCTTCTTTAACATTATCATTTAATATATTTTCATCAAAAAATTCCACTTCTTGTTTTCTATCATCTTCCTCTGAATTTTGATTGATATCTTGATTTTCTTCTGGTTTATTTTGCATATTTATAGTTTCAGAAATATCATTGTTGATTTCTTGTGTAAGAGATGTCTCATGTATATTATTTTCTGATTCTTTTTCAATTTCTTTAGCTCCTTCAAATCCAATAGAACAAATAAAAAGTTTCTCATTTTGCATATCAATTTGACTGGTGCTTAAGTTGGATTCATCTCTACAATATGAATCATTAGTTTGTACATATTCTTGAGAATTTGATGCTACTTGCATTTCCTCTTTTACAAAATAATTTTCTTGATTAATTTGTTCTTTAGATAACAATGTTCTTATCTCAGATTCAGTTTGTGTATATGTATCCTAAAATATTTAAATTTATTGTTTATATTTACTACATAATATAAAATATTAATATATCATATATTTACCACAATAGTAATTTTAGATGGTTTATTATAATACATTCGTAATTTGGCATCAGAATGTTGACATTGTTGTCTAAATTCATGAGCAACACTTGCTTTATAAATACAAATATCACAAATTAATGAAGGTAATCCATCTTGTTCATGAATTTCTATTGATCCACAAACTTGTATCTTTTGAGGAAGAGCCGAAAAATCATTCACTTCTTGATCCGTACAAAAAATAGGCGATAAATTAGTACCTTCTGTAAGGCAAATTCTACATATTCTGTCCATATTAAGTGGTAAATCAAAATATTCTGTCATTATTTATTACAAGTAGAAAGCAATTTATCTTTAATATACTTCCTGAAAAATCCATAAGAATTATATTATTTAATAATTTCTACATAAATATATATTTTTAATAAAACAGTTTTTATTTTTTGATTTTAAATTGTTTTTTAATAAGAAAAAAATATTTTATAACATATTGGATTTTTATTAAATTCAAATTTAAATATATATAGTATTTATTTAAAAATTTTACTTAATATATAAATAACAATATTGTAATCAATATGTTATTGATAATAAAAAATAAAAATTTATTATAAATTTATTATAGAGTTTAAAAACATTGTGATAAAAAGTGTTGAGAAGCATTAGTACATATTCCATAATATATATGTAATAAAAAATTAGAATGTATATAAAAGATGAAAATATTTTATTAAAAAAAACTTATTTTTAAAATAAAAAAAAATTAACATACAAAAATGAGAGGTTCTCAACCTTCGGATCTTTTATGCACCGCGAAATCATGCCACGATGTTGAGATAATGCTTTAACAGTGATGCCCAGGTGAATACATTGAAGTTTCTTTGAATAAATTTTATCTCTTAAAATTTTATCAAACACAGTTTTTATAAAATTTTCACTGTATGTTTAAGAGCAATGTCACACGTTTAATTATATATTATTCGTTCTTGCGTTATTTTCCTATGAAAAAGTTTAATACTTCTCTATTTCTTTGTTTAATGGCTTCCCTATGTATTCCCAAAGATGTACTACAAAAGTTGAGAGCAATCTGAAATGAACGCACAAAAATGAGGAATCTAGAGACTTAGTGGACTGTTAGATGGGTCAATACAAAGAAAGTTTATATGTACATGCATATATACTTCGATATTGATAACATTTATTTCATGTATAGAATGCAACTATATAACATAATTTAGATATAATTTTTACAAGATAATATAACAAAATATTTAAAAAATATTATATTTTTTTTATTTATATTTAATTTTAAATTGATATTTAATTTACCTTTGTTAGTAAGTGATTTTATATTATAAATTAAATGTTAATTATAAAATATTTTATTAATATATTTCTTATAAATTTATGCATTATTAATAAAGAGACTTTTTATTGATATTAAATTTTTTTAATTTTTTTTTTAATTTTTTATGAATAAATATACATTTTTCATTTTAAACTCGGCATAAGTATAAAATCATTTTATGTATTTTATATTTTTGTATTAGATAGCCAATCGAAAGAAAAAGCTTGTAACTAGCAGATTTATAATTTTACAAAATTTGGGAATTTTATATATGATAAATCAATTGTTGAGTGGTTTGTCTATTTGTGATAATTCTTAGGTTTGACTTTCTCGTGGAACTTTCTTATCCGCCGATCTGTCAAAAAATGTAAATGTAAGACTGTGATTGAAGTTTGAGATTTCTAACATACGGTAATGCAATCGAAGCAAATTATCCGATTAAGTCGGAATATTAGGCGGATGTAGAAAACAAGATTTTAGGCATTATTGGAAATATATTTATTTTTTAAATGCCATTATGGCTCTACGCAAAGTAAAAGGAAATTTTGAACGTATGTTCGATAAAAATCTGACCGATTTAGTACGTGGAATTAGAAACAATAAAGAAAATGAGGTAAATTTATAATTATGCGTTATATATTATTTTAAGATTTATTATAAGGACATAACCTTATTCGAACCATTAATATAAATTTTTATCTATAATATATGTTAATGTATTATTATAGGCAAAATATATTGCACAGTGTATAGAAGAAATTAAACAAGAATTACGACAAGATAATGTTGCAGTGAAAGCAAATGCTGTAGCAAAGCTAACATATGTAAGTTATAGATTTATACAGTTTATCAATATACACATTGCAAGATAATATATAATTTTATTATTAATATATTATATTTTAATTTGTTTAGCTTCAAATGTTAGGCTATGATATTAGTTGGGCTGGTTTCAATATAATTGAAGTGATGTCATCTGCAAAATTTACATATAAACGAATTGGATATTTGGCGGCAAGTCAAAGTTTTCATGCAGATACAGAAGTATGATATTATTTGGAAATTGACATAAAATTTAAATTCAAAGAAATCTGATAAGTATTTTAACATATTTCATTTCAAATTTTATTTTTTATAAAAATTATAGTAGAAGATGTATATGAAAGATTTTTTTTAATTATATATGTTTATTAAATTGATATTTCTTATATTACATTTAACACAAAAAGATATTTGTAAAAGTAATACTTTATTTTGTATGCAAGTAAATAATTCAATTACTTTGTAACTTCTGTTATGACAAAGAAGATTTGTCAGGTTTCTAAAAATTTTGAGTTTATAATGAAATTGATTTTAACAAATACAATTTTTTGATTTATTACAGCTTTTGATGTTAACTACAAATATGATTCGTAAAGATTTAAATAGTCAAAATCAGTATGATGCTGGTTTGGCTCTGAGTGGTCTCTCTTGTTTTATAAGTTCAGATCTTGCACGTGATTTAGTTAATGATATAATGACATTATTAACATCTACAAAACCATATCTACGCAAAAAAGCAGTGCTGATGATGTACAAAGTTTTCTTACGATTTCCAGAGGCTTTAAGGCCTGCTTTTCCTAGATTGAAAGAAAAATTAGAAGATCCAGATAGTGGTGTACAAAGTGCTGCTGTTAATGTAGTTTGTGAATTAGCAAGAAAAAATCCAAAAAACTATTTAAGTTTAGCACCTGTTTTTTTCAAACTCATGACAACATCTACTAACAATTGGATGTTAATAAAAATTATCAAACTGGTAAGTAAATATTAATTTGAAAAATTCTTATATTAATAAAGTGAAACAGATTAATGACATAGGCTCATTGTTGTAATTAATAAATATTTGTATACATGAATATATATGTATACATATACATTTAACATGAGCCAAATAATATTGGTCTTGTTTCACATGCTCAGTTCTCCACTATAACACTGATTGAGCCAAAAATGGGTCGGCGACTCACTCAACCACTAATTGACCTGATTTCAAGGTTTTCATATTAGTTGATTATTTTTTTATTAATAAAATATAGTAAATTATAGATATTAGTTGTATTTGCATTTTTAGTAGCTTATTTTTATTTCTAATATGTATTTATGATTTACATGTTATACCAATTACATGTTTAGAAATATTCATGTGTTAAATATTATTATATTTCTTAGATTGCAATTATATTTCCAGTTTGGCGCATTGACACCACTAGAACCTAGGCTTGGCAAAAAATTAATAGAACCCCTTACAAATTTGATACACAGGTATTTCATGTATTTTTGTCTATATAAGCAAATATATTATTTTGTTTGTTTATTGCTAGTTTAATATTTATTGCTCTCAATGTGAAAAATTTAGATATTTATTGTCTTTTAATATTTTTTATTTATATTTTGTTGTAGTCATATTTTGTAAAATAATGATAAAAAATGTAAAAAAATAACTATATAATTTATTATTAATTTATTAATTTATTGTATTTTGTTTAAAATTATTCTTTAAAATTATTAATTATATAATTTTATATAATAGTTATATAATTATTGTAATTTTGTAATTTGAAATTAATCATATGATATTATTAATTTTTAGTACATCTGCAATGTCTCTACTATATGAATGTATAAATACCGTAATAGCTGTATTAATTTCAATTTCATCTGGTATGCCAAATCATTCTGATTCAATACAGTTATGTGTTCAAAAATTGAGAATATTGATAGAAGATTCTGATCAAAATTTAAAATATTTGGGATTGTTAGCAATGTCGAAAATTTTGAAAACTCATCCAAAAAGTGTACAAGCTCATAAAGATCTTATAATGCAATGCTTGGATGATAAAGATGAAAGTATAAGATTGCGTGCCTTGGATCTACTATATGGAATGGTTTCAAAGAAAAATTTAATGGAAATTGTTAAAAAATTAATGGTTCATATGGATAAAGCTGAAGGCACTGCTTATAGAGACGAATTACTTTCAAAAATTATTCAGATTTGTTCACAAAATAATTATCAATTTGTTACTTATTTTGAATGGTAAAATAATCATCAAATCTATAATTATTAACAAATATTTTATTTATATTTGTATAATATTTATCTATATTTATAGGTACATATCTGTATTGGTTGAACTTACAAGAATGGAAGGTACCAAACATGGACCATTAGTAGCAACTCAATTACTTGATGTAGCAATTCGTGTACAAGCTATACGAAAATATGCAGTTCAACAATGTGCCTTATTGTTAGAAAATTCATATCTTCTAACAGGTCAACCAAGAGCAACAATGTCTGAAGTTTTATATGCTGCTGCATGGATTTGTGGAGAATTTTCTAGGTATTTTGTGAAACAACTTTTTATTCGTATTAATTTTCTATTTAAAATATAATTGATAATACATTCTATTAATAGTGAACTAGAAGATCCTATAGCAACATTACAGTCAATGTTACGATCACAAGCTTCTAGTTTACCAGGGCATATTCAAGCTGTTTATGTTCATAACATTTTAAAACTTGCAACAGCAACATTATGTAAGGCTGAAAAAGATAAAGATATAGAAATTATGGAACAGGTATGATATATTATATTACTTTATTATTGTTTTTGTAAATAATATTTTGTAAATATTATTATTATTTCAATAGTTACTTCATTTTTATTATATAATTTTAGTTTGTAATCAATAATAATAAATAATCTGTAATAAATAATTTTTTAATCAATAATTTATTCTATTTAATATTTTTTATAAATATTAGCATATTATATTAATTATATTAAATATTGAAAAATTTTAAATATTGAATATTTTCTTCAGAATTATGACATATTTGTTTTATATTTTATAGATTTTTGCATTGAAAGATAAAATAGCTGCTTTTGTGTGCAGTGGAGATTTAGAAGTACAAGAAAGATCTAGTTCTGCATTAGTTTTACTTGAGTGTTTAAAAGAAAATCCTGGTTTAGCACAAGAGTTAATGGAAACATTTGAAGGAGAACTTAATCCTGTTGCTCCAAAAGCACAAAGAAAGGTATTAATCATATATATATATGATTACATATATATATATATTTTTTACATAATTTTATTATTACAAATATTTTCTTTCTAAGAATATATATATATATTATAATAAAATTGAATTGTTATAATTAGTAATTGGTAATTAATTTTCTACGTTTTGATTTTTTTTGTCTTTTTCATTAAATATATTATAAATATAATGTTTAGATAAGTATTAAGAAGATGTTTGTTTTTTTATTTCTAACAATAATAAAAAAATGTAAAATTACTTATATGTATAATCTTAATTTTTTTAGGTGCCAATTCCTGAAGATTTGGATTTAGATTCATGGATCAATGATCCACCATCAGAAAGTTCAGATTCAGAAGATTTAGATATGAATGATATTTTCATTAAGACAGAGAAAATTAATGATTCCTATTCTAAACGTGAATTTAATGAACCATCAGCAGAAGAACTTGAAAAACGCCGTGAAGCTAGAAAATTGGAACAACAAAATAATCCACATTATTTGAAAGGCACATTTAAAAATTCCACATCATATCATAATTCATCAAATATTTATGAGGAATTTGAAAACATTCCTGTAGCAGAGTTAGATATTCCAATTTCTTTAAAAATTACAAATAATCATAAAAGATATAAAATACATGACAAGAAAAAGAAAAAATCTAAGAAAAGTATGTTAAAATTTTGTATGTATAATTCATAATCATTATAAAATATTAAATTGTAAAAATGAAATTTTCAGATAAGAAGCCTGCTTCAGAAGATGAGCATGATGATATTTATCCTATTCAAGTAGTGAATACTGGAATAGGTGAATTACCACCAGGTGCAGAATTAAGTGACAGCGATGATTATGATCAAGTGGATATAAATGATCCACATAGAGCTTTAAATATTAATTTAGATTTACCTTTGAGAGATGATGAAAGATTACCTGTCTTAGAACATAGGGTTATTGAAAATAATTTGAATCAAGAAATTACTGAATCTAAAGGAAAGAAAAAAGAAAAAGTAATATTTTGTCTCTTTTTGTTTAAAGTTGTAATATATTAAATATAAACTTTTTTTTAACAAAGAAATTTTTATCCCACAATTAAATATTATTTTATTTTATTGTATTTTATAGGGACATAAAAAATCTAAAAAAAAGATTAAAGAAGTTAAAGATAAATGCTATGACAATCAATTAGAACTTACTGATATGTGGTTGGAAAATAATACTCCTTCGGAAAATATTCAACCACCTGTTACTAATGAATATTCTGAAGTTTTCAGTGAAAAAGAATCAGAGTGGAAAGATACTAAACGCAAAAAATCAAAAAGTCAAGAGAAATATAAAAAAACAGATGAAAACTCAAAACATCGAAAATCAAAGAAATCTAAAAGTAAAAAAGAATCTTCAAAAAAATCTTCAGATTATGAAGAAACAGCTGGAATCTCAACACCATCTAAAGAAATATTACCAGATTTAAGATATAATTTTACAAATTCTGAGGATAATACAATTTTAGAGCCACTTACTTCATATGAAGAATTAGCTAATAATAAAATACTATCTATAATGTACAAATTAAAACAAATTCCTCATGAATCAAACAAATTAATTGCATCAATACTCATTACAAATAATTGTCAAAAGCCTGTAAAGGAATTAGTTTTTGATGTTCCAGATACATCATCCTTGAGATTATTGAGAAATGTAAGTTAAATATACACAACAAATTTTAAACAAAAAAAAATTATATATTTTCAGAATTTATTATTCTCTTTTTTCTTTTTATAATTATTATTTCTTATTATGCATTTATATTTTTTGTTATAATAGTAAAATAAAGAATCTGTTTTAATAAATATATGATTCTTTTAGACTGGAGATGAATTTGGTATAAAACTGCCATTCCAATTGCCTCCACAAATTACTAAAGAAACACAGTTTACTATTTTAATCTCAGATGTAACATTTGCTCAGAGGTTGAGAGGCACACTTACGTATATGTTAGAAAGCAAAGAAAGTACATTGCAAGAAAAACTTGATTTTACTATACATTTAACGTGCGGTAAATTCATGGTCGGCCACCTTTCACATAAGGATATATTAACAGAATTACTTAAAAGTGGTCAACTTATATATAAAGTTAAAAAAGAAATTATTCTTTCTCAAGATTTTGATATTATTTTAAATTAATTTGTAATAAGTGTAATCTTACACTTGTGGAACAAATCAATGATACTGCATCTTTATATGGACATTCTTTGAAGGGACATCATGTGTGCCTTTTATTAAAATGTAATGTAAGTAAAACATATTTTATCTTTTAAAATTTAATTATTTTATTTTATATTTTATATTATTTTATATTATTAATGATTTTAAAAAAGATATAATAAAATTTTTTTTATAGAAATCATCAAGAAATTTGGTAATTGAAGGTAAAGGTGACAATAACACGTTATTGTCAGGAATTGGAGACGAAATTTTAAGGATCCTGACATAATATAAATTTAAATTGAAATTTTTCCGTATTTTACGAGTCCTATCCTTATTCATTACAATCATGCTCATTGCATAACTCAATAGTAAAATGAAATTTTAATAGTATTCATTATATATAAAATAATGGCTATGGAAATCATCTTTGCAAACTTATCGAATTTTTTCAGAAAAAAAATCTTATCTAAACTTTTTAAATTTAATTTAGGTAAACAAATTTTAAGTATATGCATGTAAAGAAATACATGTATATGTATAAATATCACACATAATATGTGTGTAAGATAACGTTTCAAGAGAGGGAAAGAGATTTATTATTGGGAATTGAAGACATCAGAATGAAAGTAGTTTGTTTTATTTATGTGTAATTTCAATTTATAAATTAAAGTGCAATAATAAGATAGTAGTGATAAAATTAAATATTTATTTTAATTAATTTCATCATTTCTTAAGTAATAAAAAGTTCTTTGTACAATTTACTATATGTAAATATTATTATTTAACAATTTTTTAAAAATTGATCTTTGTTTTATATAAATATGAATAAAACATGTTTATATAATTCATTGAAATATTACATTATCTTGCCAAAGTAAAGCATGATAAAGTTATTATGTGAAATATTATTTATAAGGATATTCATCTGTAAAATATTGTAATGAATTATGAAAATTATACATATTTTTAAAAATTAACTACTTATACGCTGATATCTTCAATTTTATGTTATTAAAGATTAATATCATTACATTGTTGAACTTCTGATTGAACTGTAAAATACATCATGGATACTCGCGACTCGTGTGAATGTACATCGATGTTTCTCAGCGGAATATATACTTTCTGCATGTAATGACTTTGTAATATCAATAATTTAATACATATAAGAATTTATGATAAGCATATAAATACGCAATACAGTAACATGTGGAACACCAAATGTAAATAGCTAATACTTGTATGCTGATAAACAATATCTTTATTTTAAATATCTTCCAAAAATCAATTTCATTTATATGAAAAAAATGTTCTATAAGAAATAATTTAATTATACATTGCTCCTCATTAACATTCAATGATTTATTTATCATTTAAAGTCATGAAGAACAAATAAATACTAATGAATCATTGAAAACATTAATGTTAAATGCCAGTAAATGATTTATAAAAATTGAAATTAATCCTTCAGCATTTAAACAATGTAAACAATGAGAAATAGAACTATTACGTATCAATAATATAAATATTAAAATTTTACTTCTAAACTTCTTGCTTTAAATATTTTTTCTTGTGTAAATTTTTAAATTACTTAATTTTTTATTATATTATTTGAAATCATAAATTTTCATGAAACATAAATTTTGTTATAATGACATTTACTGTGCCAAAAATGATTAATCAGTAACAACTTCGTCCTTGAAACATAACAGTATAAAGATATATTTAAGCCAAATAATTTTTTGTTCCTTTTTGCATTTATACATAAATAATATTAAATATATAACATATTGATTTGAGAAAATTATTGATATCATGTTTTACATTAATTATAGTTTATGTATACTGATGTTTATAATATTCGTTTCTACGAATAATAATCTGTTAAACTTATTCATAAAAATTGTCTTACTCTTTGTACTTGATATATAAAGAAAAATAGATTTTATCTTTGAAAATATATTTTATGTAAATAATTTTTTCTTATAAAAAGAAAAAAAATCTCATGTAAATTATTTTTAATTTTGACTTTATATATATATTTTTTAAATATTTAAATATGTTTAAAATTGAAATTTAATCTAAATTTATAAATAAAAGTTAATTCTTTTTTAATATATCATTTTTTTATCAAGTTTAATACATTAATTTGTGATTAGCGAAGTGTTCAATTAACAATTATTAGATGATTATTTACTAATTGATTCTATCATTATGTGACTACATGTAGTCTAATCGTAATCAGTAATAATTAATGGTAATCACTAATAATGATTGATTGGGGTTAGAGATTAGCATGAAAAAATAAAGCAACAATTCGAATATAGACTGTATTAAATTGTTTCTTTGAATTTTATTTTTCAATTTTATTTCGCACATATTTTAATTAAAAGAATTTTAAATTGATCGATCAATTTTTTAAATTGATTGTTACTTAAGAATAGACCGATGAATTTAATATGATTTTGGATTGAGGTCGATTTGACTTACGTAGTTATATTCTTGAATAACTCGAAATAATTTATTATTTCATATCGAAGAATCGAATCGAATATCGAATAATAATCTATGATATTTCCCGCCTTTATGAACAAACGTTTAAATTTTGAGGTTAGGAAAAAATCTATTGAAAATTTATATAATAGAAGATATATAGTAGGAAATTTTAATTAGAGTTATTATGGAATCAAATATCGGGATGATTATAAGATTTAGATAAGAATATGATCTAAAAAAAATTACTCAGTTTTCACATTTTCAGAATTATTTATTTTATTTAATAAATTATTTCATTTATTTATTTAATATAAAAAATAAAAATTTTTAAACAATAAAATTACTACAAAATTATATGTAATAGAGTAAAAAGAAAAAAAATGAAATCAAGAGCAGAATCATAATTTAAATCGTTCGTCAAAGATATTTATAAATTATATATTTTTTTTCTTTATTCGTGATTGATTGAATTTGAATAACCTATTAATTTCTTTTTTTAAATTAGTTTTTTTTTTTAATTAGTTTTCACGATCAGTTTTCTCTAATAAATAACATACACATTTCTCTTTATCTTTTATTTTTATAATGAATTAGAATTATTTACATAAATTAAATTTTTTAAAATTTTTATTCAATAGGAATTCATTTTTCAGACATTTTTTTTTTTAAATGTATCTATTTATAATGAATACGACAAAAGATAAAACATATACAAAACAAAATTATTAAAAAAAAAATATTATTTTCCGTTCAAGTATTGTTCTAAGAAGAATCATATCTGTACAGGCATTAAGGGATAAGTGAAACGGAAAGAGAGTCATCTCTTTGTTTTAGTCGGTCGTTTTTTCTTTTTTTCCGCGAGTCGATACGGTCCCAACTTCCGGCGCACCATAACGCCTCGCCACCAAGCTTGAATCTTGATTGCACTTTTTTGCATGTGCTCCCATCGCTCCTTCTCCTTTTTCAATGCTTCCTTTTCCGCCAGATACGTGTTTATGAACTTTTGATTACATCGATACTGTAAAAATATGGTTTTAAAGATCGATTTAATATTTAAAGATTGCAAGGAAGAGCAAATAATAAAAAAAAAAAAAAAGTACGGAAAAAAATTTATAAATTTTTATCTTGTTTGTATTCATTAACAATTTTCCATATGAACAAATCCATATTTGCATATAAAACAATTTTTAATTCTTTCACCTAACCTTCCCGACTATAATGGAACCAAAACTAACCAAGACGATATTCTTTCTTTTCTCTTTATTATTTCTTCATCGATAAAATTTAACATGATTTAAAATAACAGATAGGTTATTGTTGACACGATTCGATTATCGATTTCCTGAAAGAATTTCACACGCATTACACGTTGTTTCTACGCTTACAAAAATAAGTTGTCGAGTTTTGATTTTAATTCAAAGATAGAATAATGAGAATTAGAAGCTACGATATATACATTTACATTCTTCTTCCTTTGCATTTATATTCTTTTTTTCCTACGCGTCTTGGTTTCTATCGAAATTTCGAATGGAGAAAAAGTTATAAAATTTATGCCTCTCGTTTATTCAACATGTTCGTTATGTAAAATATAAAGAAAAAGAAAAAAAATATATAACAACAATACAAAACAAGCATACCTCTTCTTCAAGTTTATCCATCTCTTTTTGAATTATTTTTATTCACTTCGTAACTGTTGGATCTCCTTTTCGTAGATCTTTTTTTCTCGAATATATCGCTCTTCCCATTCCTTGTTTTTTTTCTCTAGCAACTGTGAATTTGAAGAAGAGATTGTTTTTATCCCCGTCTAATTCCCTCTCTTTTTAATACGAGCATTAACAAACGCTTTAAGATGATACTTGATATTGAAATATTTATTTTATATGCATTTTACATCGAATTCATACATTGTCGTAATAATAAAATTAAAAATGCAACATGTTTATTTACATATTTTGAACACACGAAATATGCACAACTCATGAAAGTTTGTCTATGATAATTGAGAAGAAATAATGCTCACCGCTGTTTCCTGGATCAGAAATTTTGTTAACTCGGCGTGAACGCGCCGTTCATTTTTTTCACGTACGCGTCGATCTTCTAATACCTTCTTTAATTTTTCCACTTCCATGTCGCAACGCAACAAATTCTGCTCGTATCTTGCCTTCTCCCATTCCGTAGCGTACTCCAACTCCATGCTCGAGATTAATTTTAATTTTTCCACGTTGCGCTGTGCGTTGTTTCAAAATTGTTGAAAATTAAAAATTTCACGAGGGAAAAATATATATATACACAGCGCCGATACCTGCTCCTTCGCGACCTCGTTCAATATTCGTCTTTTCTCCTGCTCGTTAACAATCTTCCTCTCATCGATCATTCCCTGCAATTTTTTCGCACTTTCTCTTAATTTCTCTCGCTCCTTGAAAACTGCCTCTTCTCCTTTTTCGCGTCTCACGATCTTCTCGATCTCTTCGCTCAATAACTCGAACGTTCCCCGCTCTCGTATCTCTATCTTCAATTCCTCCATGATTCTTTCCATGCATGAACTGTTAAAAATTTGAAATTTTATTATTTATCGTCCTGTGCTTCGACGAAAGAAGAAATGAGCGAATAAATAAAAATTATCATTTACTTCATACTCGAGTATATTATTACAAATTGAAGTTGTTACGTTTCTCCAACCTGTTTTCGTAAATTTTCTTCGGGACGGCTCGTTCTTTAACATCGTCGATCTCCATAATTCCCATTTCCGGATTCAAGCCACTGCAACGAATGTAAAAACAAGTTTTCCAATTTCGTTTCGAAGGATATTCTTTTCGACTCGAATTAAAATTTCGTATCATCATACCCGAGGGGCGAACAGTCGAAAAGAATACCGCGTCTCGCGGTCTGCTTTCTCAGCGTGCTGTGGTAAATGGCCAACGCGTTCGTGAACTCCTCGAGCGCTGCTAAAATTACGGGCCGTTCCGCCGGGGAGAACCGTGAAGGACCATTCGTGGCCATTTGAGTATCCGTGTTTCTTTTCACTTTTGCACACCGAACATTTATTAACGTATTTTTTAATTATATCTTTGGTAATTTTCAAGCTTGAAATTTGTTGAAATTGAATTACACCCAATATTCGAGAATATTACAATTGATATACGATCTTTATTTTCTATTTCATAAAATTATCTTGCACGCTAATTATATTCTTTTCTTTAGTTTAGTTTAATTTAAATGGAAATCAAGTGCTCGTTTTAAAGAGCGAAACGTAAGATAAAAATTCTTTCGTTCTTATATATTTTCTCTCTCTCTCCCTCTCTTTAACAGAAACACACATTGCGGTTTCTCAACTCTAAATTAAAGTTATGGACGTCAGTCATAATGGAAAAACTATGGTCCGGTTAATTAAAATACACGCGCGAAAGGGATATCGGGGATCACACGATACGCCACACTTTTGATGGAAGTAAATATTCGAGAGAGGCGGTCTCGCCGAGTTTCCAAACACGTGATACGGGTTTGATCCATTACCGGCACGGTCGCCCTTGGAAACAGCGGCTCTTGGTATTTTTTACTATCGATCGAGCCGCCTGAATTGTTATATATTTTTCGTCAATCAACATTTTATCGTCGGATATACGAGGAAGTGCGATTTTTTTTTAATATTTGAACGATTTTAAAATTACTTTTCTCAGGGTAATTATTTAATTGCATTATTTCCTTCGTTGGAAGTTTCAAGCAGTTTGGAAAGAAAGAGATGGCGGCAAAAGGTCGAGTCGAAAACAGTTAAGCAGTTGGGAAACGTTATAGATAGATAGTCTTCCATGTTAAAGCTCGATTGAAGAATTCATTGGGAAAGATATCTTGTGGACACTCGACAACTTTCTTCCTTGGCGCTTTCTTCGTCGATTGTCTCAGCAAGGCTGCCGAGAAAAGAAAGGTTCATTCGAATACATTCCGTCCTAATTGGAAAACTTTTTTGTACCTTGAACTTTAATCGAATCTGCGTTGTCTAAAAGTTATACATATATTACACCAATACCCGTGGCTTAGAGATATATTTATGTATCTGTAATTCGTTAAAATCGAATTGCCAAAGAATAATATAAGTTAAGATGTAATATTCTGTTGGACAAATTTTTTGTTAAAAAGAAATAATTATCTCTTTTTTCAATTTTTATTTCAAATTATGCATATTTTATTATAGTCTTTTTTGAAAGATTATTTTAATCTCGCATAACGAATGATTTTGCCAGAATCGTTCTATAAAAAAACATTCATATTTTCATTCAAAGATTATAAAAGATAGGAGGAAACGTAAAGAATCTTTTGATATTTGTTTGTAGACCAATATCTATGAAGTAAAAATAATAATAAATTATTTTAACAAAATGGTGTAAAGATATTTTATATCGTATATATATATATATATTATATATGCAATCGACCTCTCCACTATTATGCGCGCTAACTTCAAATTACATCTAATTTGCACTCTAGTGGCTAATAAAGCTAACAAATTTTTTTTAAATTCTCATTTGATTTCATTTAGCAATCTAATTTATTAATCTTTTAGCACAAATCATACTCGTTTTAATTAAAAAACAAAAAAGCAGCAAATGAAATAAATAAAAGTCGAAAAACAAAAGAATTTTATGAAATGAAATCGAAGAATAGTTTTAAAATACGAAGAATGCTTTTAAAATTATATGATTCAAGTTTCATTAATTGTCTGCTGAAATAGTAAAGCCATTGAGAATGATGGTACTTTAAGCCTGAAAACTGACAAATGTGGAGGATAGAGTTTGATAAAGGTGACAGAAACACGTCGGAAACATTGTAACGGGAATGTAATGTGCTTCCGAAAGTTACGCCGTGTACGAAAATTCCGTTTTGCTATGAAAGCTTGGAAACAGGAATAAAATGCGTACACATGCGCACAATCGAGGCGGCGTCGCGCATGCGTAATATTGCGGCGAGTGTGGCGAGGCGCGAGGGCGGTGTCGGTGGTGGAAGCAGAGAAACGTTTTCTACCCTTTGCTCGTCATCGTCGTCGTCGTCGTCGTTGTCATCGTATGTTCATCTATCGTTTCATTGTGCACACTCGTGGCGAACGGTGCAGTGAGTGATATTGCCGCAGTCGACGAGTCGATACGCGGTTCGGATCGTATTCTTCCTTCAATAATATCATTTTTCGCAATCGCGTATGATATTTCGAGCTGTCGACCTGTCGCGAGGGATCCTCGGTCACGGTGGAATCAAAGGTTATAACCTGTCATCGTCGTCATCGTCATCGGCGCCGTCGACGTCGTCGTCGTCAGTCTCGATCAGCTGCTTCGCGGGTGAGTAAAAAATATTTATGTTTTTCTTCTATGTAACTTTTGCTCGTGTTCACCATTTGTATCACTGTGGATATTAGAGTTAACCTAGTTGCGTTGCTTTTGGAACGCCCTCGTGTTTATGCCGCGAAAATGCGATACGTTTGAAATGCCGGGAGAAAGAAAAGTCGATTGAAACAATTCATCTATATTTTTAATTATTGTAAGATTTTTTTTTTTCACTTTATTTGTATACATAATTTTTGTGAATATAATTCGGTCGATGTAGATAAGTGAAATTATCGACCTATTGGTGTTCTCGATGCCTTTACCGATTTAGGAATCCCAAGGGAAATTCCATACCTATCAAGATTAACCTAGTTACGAATCTTCGAACTGTCCTTGTGTGAGAAACTCGTTGCATATAATATAGTTTTGATTTCTGTGCAACGTGAAAGGAAAAAAATAAAAAAAAACAGTTTCAAGATAGACTTTTCGTTTCGCGTTAAGTAGTCTCGTAGTTTACAGTCACTTGTGTGGCGCTTAAATCTACCTAATTTAGCAACCGAGGATAACAGTCCTCGCTGAGTTCTCTCAGCGTTGACAGGCATAAAAGGCAAATTACGTAAATATTCGTATTGCACTTTCCCGCTGGTAGTTTTGTAGGTAAATACAGAATTTAAATCGCTTCTTGCACGGTTTTACGAATCTCTGGCGGTAGATATGCAGCGTCTTTAATTCTATCAAAGTTAACCTAGTTACAGAATCTTCGGTACGCCCTCGTGTTTATACCGCGAAAAGAAAGAACATTCGAAAGTTTGTAAGAAATATAGTTTTACTTGTATTAGCGTTGTTTTTGCAGAATTTTTTTTTTTTTTGTAATGCATATCAATACTTGAACTTAATTAATGAAATTAATTAAATTGTTAATCTTTGAGTATACTTCAGAATAAAAAAATGTGGAAATCGATATTTTTTATCGATGGAAATCGTCATTCTATTTTTGTAATTTTTTATCGCATACGAAATAATTTGAACATTAAATAAGATCAAGTTTTAATACAAGAAATATTCTAAAATTCTTATTAATAATAAATTTTGATAAAAATTCTCTAAGAGTACGCAAATATAAATAAATTAATCAAACATCTTGCATTCATTCATCTTAAAAATTCTAATCATTAAATGATTATTTTTCTGTTGTTCCGTTTGAGAACATGGGAATTTGAAAAGAATTTTTTTTTTTTCGCCATCTTTTTAATTAATGGGTTCGTGGCCGAGTAGTTAGTTTACACACGCGTCAAGAACGGCCATTGCCATGTATTAAGTACGCCATTATTAAATGTGTAGTGCGGCTAACTTAAAAGGATTATTTTATATGATTATAATTACTTTTTCTTTCTATATCAATTTCTCGTTTATCGAAATATCAGAAAATACTTTATAAAAACAAATTCTAACGATAAAAATATTAATTTATATCTTGGAAAGTAAATCATCAATATAAATAATTGTTATAAGGTTAAATGATAAACATATTTTTTATTTTTCATTTTTCATCGTGTTCTTGTATTCTTTATGTATTCTGGAAACAAATCATAAAAATTTTTGTCATAAAATCTAGTGTCTAATTGTAAAAGCGAACATACAAGATACAAAATAGATAAACAACTTATTAAAATCGATTGAAAGCGAAATTTTCCGATACGCGCGAATTTAAATCGTATTTAATAATCACTTGCAATTCTCGTTTTGTCCATAATTCGTTCGAATCTTGGCGAAACTTGGTTTCGAATTTTCGAAGATCAATCGTATTTTGACTTATCTAGAACAAGGAAATCTTTTATTCAAACGGTTAAATTTTACGTCGTATAGTAAAGAAAGATCGAACGGTCCCGTACGTGGATAAATTTCTTAATCGTTCTGCTCGGTATATATTAGATACATGTGATTGGTTGATTGTTCATGTGCCGTTAACCGTAATCCTCGATTCCCTAGATGACGTTCGCGATTATTGGTTAAACGGCACTGTCGGATTTATTGCTAGAATTACTACTGACTCGAATGGCGTGATATCATTTTCGGTTATTTATCGTCGTCCCATCGAAACGGGACGACGCATCGAATTCGCTTGGTTTATCGATGCATTTGTCGTTTGTTTAAGAAGGCTCGTTAATTGTTGTTAATAATTTTCTATTGTTAATAATTATTATAATTGCCTCTCAACGTTTTAATCCATATATATTCTCATTTATTCAAAAAATTAGAATTGAAATTAGATAATCGAAGTTTTGTCAAAAATTTTCTCGAGACTTTTAATAATGTTTATACAAAAAAAGAAAAAACAAATAATTTCCAATAATTATATCATAAAATTTCCAAATTATAAGAGAAGATCGTTATACACCTAATTATACCGTTTTAAAATCAATTTTCAAATATTTCCGCATCCGGATTAATTCAACATTTATAATCAATTTCAACTCAGAATTGTTAAGAGGATTAATCGGGAGATTGTCGTGCAATTACGGAGCCGTAAATCCCGACAACAATACGTTACAACGGCATAGCACGGTTTTCGAGACCCGTCCTTTATCAGTTTCACGAGAGAAACGCGAGCATAGAAACGGAGGTAGAAACATTTCTGATAACGGTTTTACGTACCGTTTGAAACATACTCGGTGAAAGGAAAACAAGCAGGGCTAGTCGCGAAGGTGGAACGTTGTAGAAACGGTTTGGCCTCCCATGCTTGGGGAGTTCGCTCGAGAGAAATTTGATCGATAAAGGCGCAACCGAATCGACGACATTTTCCACGCACAATCAAAGGGTTCCGTTCAACCTCTGCTCTCATAGCATTGTTTTATTGCTCGTTACGATCGACCTAATCTAACCCCATTTCCTTTTATCCCTTCTTGATGCACCCTCTTTTTTTCTCTCTCTCTCTCTCTCTCTCTCTCTCCTCTTCTTC